CAAAAAAAAACAGAAGGATTTATTTGGATTCAAAACACAGTGTCCGGTTTTTGTGTGCAACTAATCAAATTCGAATCGGAAATCCAAGGAAATTTTTTCCCATCAACTATTCCATCTAAAGATGTTTTCGTTGTTGTTTTTTTTAGTCGGAATCAATTTGTGGATCAGGATGGTGAATGTGTCACTGATGTGTGTTATGTTTACCGATTTTCTTTCCTGTTTAGGGTGTCGACAACAACAATAACAATCATGTTGAAATGTATAAACAAACTTGATTTTTTTTATTTGGAACGACATTCTCAATAATGAACAAATGATGGAGAGAAACAAATTTCAAATTCAAACTAAAGGCAGTTGGATGCTTTATCGCACATTTATGATGTCAGGGTGAATAAAAATAAATAAACAAAACTTGCATAGAAGTTAACATGATCATTTACTCGAAAAACGAACAAAAAGAATGACAAAAATGGATGCATTCAACAACAAAGAAAATTATGTTTGAAATAAAATAAAAAAATCAGAATCGAATTTTGATCATCATCGTTATAGAAATAAATTCCATTTTACTATTTACACAAACCAGAATACGAGATAGATGTACAGTTATGTTGTTTCTCCATCCACCCACAAACAAATTCTGTACTACTGAACTAGAATTGTTGTAGCACCTTTGATGATGATGGCTGCTTGTCAAAAACGCTGTTCACGTTTTCTTTTCTTTTTTTTGATTTCCATTTTATTTCGGGATAAAGTTTTCGTTTTTATTTTTAATACATACTTTGAGCATCACCTTTTTACCATCATCATCATCATCATTTGACATGTCATATCGTCGTCGTTTTTAATTGTGGTTTTCGCACAACAAACAACAACAGACATTACATGCGTCCATCAATATCACCACAAATGGAATCGAAAGAGAGAAAGAGAGAAAGTGGGGAATTTATCTCACACACATTATCTTTTTCTTCCAATACATTGCTATCAGCCTGTCAAATTCCGTATTCTATTCACACACACACACACATCGAGTACATGGAAACCAATTATGGGAAAAAAAGTGTGACGAAAATCTGCCAACGACGACGAAAAAAATAAAAAAAAAATCGAATGGAAAAATGGATGCTGACCACTCATACACACACGCACCTGGACAATGGACACATCGAACAAGAAAACTTTTTTTCAAGAATTTTCATGAACAACCGGTGTATAATTACAATGATGATGATGTTTAATTAGCTGCTAATTTTATTTTGTAAAACAACAAAACTTTTATATGAAAAAAACACTTTCAGGATCAAAAAAAACAAATCTACCTTGTCAAATTTGGTGATGGTGATGTGTTTTACAGAAAAAAGTTTTTCCAACAACAAAAAAACCAAACAAATTTTAAAGCCATAATAATCTACTTATCAGACAAACATAAACGATTTTGAAAAAGGCCAAAAAACTAGCCCAGCTCAATTTAAAAATTTACATGATAATAGTAAACGAGCAACAACAAACATTGGGACATTTTCATTGCTCTCTTGACATTTTTTTCTTTTTGAAAATTTACAATTTTTCATGGCGAAAACAACCGATTTGATCACATCTCTGTGTGTGTGTTTGTGTTTATCATTCATCGATAAATGAATTGGGAAAAATTTCAAAAAAATTTTACAATTCAAATAATCGATATAATCAGATTATTATTATTATGATGCTTTTTTACAGAAAAAAATTTCCATTTTTTCACTCATTTTCACAATCACAAATTGTCGTCGTCGTTGACAATTTTAAATTTGTCCACTGAATTTATTTCAGTTTTTTTTTGTTTGAAAAAATAAATTTCAACATCATTATTATCGATAAGATCAAATTCAAAGAAGAATAAAAAAAAATATAAAATTTCATTCGAAATGGAATACGATTCTATAATTCAAAATGGATGAATGAATATATTTACTGGGCGTTTCTTCACCAATGATGATGGAAATGGAAAAATTTTTTGTTTTTCGAAAATTGACACTATATGAAATACATTTGGTCGTCTAAATAAATGTCAAATGCATCCGAATTTTTCTTTATTCTTGGAAAGCTTTTTGTTTTTGTTTTTCGGTATTCATTGCAAATTGAGAATAGAAAAATTTCAAATTCGATACTTGTGTTGTTTTTTTTCTTTGTTATTATTGTGCTATTTTGAAAATGAAATAGGGAAAAGATCAACGGATCTTATGAAGGTCCGGTCCGGTCTCTTCAGATGGTGATGGGCAGTTGTTTGATGAATTCTTTTCGCGAAATAAGTGTCTGTAACATGAGTGCATGAAAGAATGAATAAACGAACACAGAGTGATGGAGAAAATGGTAATGTTTCAATAACCCATCGATCGATTGATCGATCCAACAACGAAACAAAGAAAAAAGTCAAAAGGTTCTTTCCATTTTTTCATTTTGAATTACAAAATAAAAAAAACTCTACTGAAGTGATGAAGAGAGAGAGTTATTCAATTTTAAATTTTTTCTCTCGGATTGATTGATTGATTGATGAAATTGTCAACATACGAATGATTGGTGTTTTTTTTCTCAATAAAGAAATCCGATAGATTTTCGTTTGCTTTTGTGTCGGTGTGTGTGTGTAATGGATGCTAAAAATTTTCAAAAAGCAAATTCGGAAATGAAAAGAAAAAATGGATCAGTTCTCCAGCTCATCATCATCGTCATCGCATCCGTTTTAACTTGAATTTTGGAGAAAAAAAAAATATTAAATTTGGCATATGAATGACGGGGGAGACGAGAATGAAAAGAATGAAAACTGAGAAATTTTTTTTATCAACTTCCTTCCGCCCCGGGTTTTTTTTCATTAAAACAAGATCAAACAAAGAAAAATGTGATAAAACCAACGATGATGACCAAACTTTTTCAGATTCGAGTATAACGAATGGCCGAGATTTCTAATCAGATGAATATCACAACGATGTAATGTTGTAGAAAAAGAGTTTTAAATCATCATCATCTTGCAAAAAAAAAAAAAAAAAAAAAAAACAACAACAACAGTCAACCCATCGAACCGAAGCAAAGATTTCTACTATTTTCAACTTTGTATTTTTTATTTATTCACATTTTCAACTTTTCTATTTTTTTTACATCAAGAAATTTTTCGTCTTCCAAAATACTGGTGGCAAATTCTTCTGCGAAACTGATGTGATGAAGAGGAATTATTTTTTGTTTTTTGTTTTTAAGAGACTTTTGTTTATTTCAAGAAAAAAAAAGTTTTAAAAGTTTTTTCTCAAAAATGCAAAAAAAATCATCTAAATAGAAATGGAAACAGACAAACAAACGAAAATCCTTTGTAATACTGATGATTTTCCCAATGTTTTCATCATTTTCAGAATGAGAATGGTGAAAGGCTAATTTTGTGTTGTTTGTTTGTTTGTTTGTTTGTTTCGGTATGAGAATGGTCATTGCTTGCTTGGTTTACATGTTTTTTTATGGATGGCTGAATAAACAAACGGAAAAAAACTCCTATCCGAACAGTTGCTGTATGCAATTCATATTCTCAAAATTGGCATCTCAGGATTTTCCGAGAAAAAATGAGAAAAAAATTTATTCAAATTTCACACACACAAACACGAATCGGACCAAAAAAAACGAAAAAGAGAGACAGATGTAATACATAACTGCTACACTACTGCTGTTGTCGTCGTCATCATCACCAAAAAAAACATGCAAATGCCAAAATGATTTGAAATCAAAACACAACAACAACAACAACAACTCGACTTTTTTTATTTTACAACTTTTTTTTGGAAAATTGAAAAAAAATAAATTCTGGTTTGTTTAACCATCATCGTCATGATTACAACGATTCAAATTCCATCAACGTGTTTCAAATCATCATCATCAACTTTGACGCAAAAGCAAAGACCAAATCTGTTCGTCGAGAATGGAGAAATTATTGTTTTTCATCCATATAGATCAATTATGATGATGAAATTGCAAACAAATCATATTCAATTTTCAAATTTTTTTTCCAACAAACAAACCGAAAGCAAAAAAAATTGTAAAATTGAAATTTTAAAGAAAAAAACACAGAAAGTGAATGAATTCTGGTCTCTTTTTTTTGTTGTTGTTGAAACAATGCAATGACAGCTTTTTCCTTTTTCTTTTTTCGTTGGTTGATTGTCTTGTGATGATTTTTTTTATTTCTATTTCTCTGGCGACGAAAAAAAGGCATTTCAACAAACCAAAACCAGATTTTTTCTATATTCAAAATTCACACACACACACATGCATCTCATTCATTTTTTCGGTTTCATTTTCAAAATGTTTTCATTATTTTCCGGGGTTATGGATTTTTCTCTCGCCTTCTCTTTTATCACTATCGTCGTTGTGTTGCCATCGTTTTCGTTTTCACTATTCTCTCTCATATATTCTACATTTTAACTAAATTAAATTTCAATTTAAAAAGCCATTATTCGACGACGACGACAGTGATGATGATGACTTGGAAACAAAAACCGGGAATCATTTTTTTTCTTTCATTGAAACAAACACCATTCCATTCAAAACTATGAAATGTATGCTTGATGTGTGTGTGATAAAAAAATGACTGAGTAAATGGCATGAACCGGTTATAATAAAAGATTTAAATGAAAAGGCCAAGTGTTGTTAAATGTATTATAAATGGATACACATACATAAAACCAAGTCATAACTTTTAACCCTTTGCAAACAACACCAGTAGACATGGAGAAGATCAGCTAATTTTTTTGGTGAATTAATTTGAATTTTATGCAAAAAAAAAATTCTCACTGCACAAACAAACAAGATGATGAGATGATGATTTTCAAGAATAATCACCATTATCATCATCATCATTAATGTTCAATTTTCTGTAATGTTTTAGTAGCAAAGGTGTCGTCGAAATACTCATCTAATGGTTCATCATTAGCACGAATTTTAACATTGAAAATATTTTGCAAAAAACAAAAACGAAAAAAAATTCTACTTACAAAGTTGTTGCTGGTCATGTTGTTTTTGATTCGGATGAAATTCATATTGAAGTTTTCTCTGTTGTTGTTGTGGTTGATATAAATATTGACCATTACTAGCCAATACAGTGATCGGACTGAGTAATCCAATGATGGTAATGATGATGAGCATTGATGATTGATGTTTTGATTGACGAAATAAATTATTAACAACAAAAATATTACAATAATAATGACAAAGTGGATGAAACAAAGTTAGCATTACAAAAAAAGTATTGATAATTGTATCGATAAATCGATTTAATAATGACACTGATGACGATGATGATGATTGTGCCCAAGGCAATAAAGATGATTCTGGTTCGAACATTATTATTTGTTCGTTTTGTTCAGTGAATCTTTTTCTTTTTCTTCTTTTTTTCATTTTTCTTTGCAGCCATTGCTGCTGTTCTGGTGGCATGGCCATAGCTGATTGCAATGATGATGATGATGATGAAACTAAACCGGAACTAGAACCAGAATCTGAACAACAACAAAAATGTAAAGTTTTCATAACCATTTCCATTATTATCAATGACACGGTTTTCTTTTAGTGAATTTATCCATTCAAATCACCATTTTGATAATGTAAGATGAATCACATCATCATCGTCATTTTCATTGAATTATCATTGAATTCTACAAAGAAAAATACAAATAAAATCAACAGACTAAAAATCATCAATTGATTTATTCCCACCAAAAAATGATTTACTTACAAAACATTTCAAATAACAATGAAAATGGCCATTATTGAAAGTAGAAAAAAAAGTTTTGCTCCCACACACACATAAATGCACAAAACATAAAGTGTCATTGATAATGATAATGACACATTTTATCTTGGAACACACACACTCACACAAAGACACAAAAGCTGGAACAACAACAACAACAAAAAAACCGCGATTAATGTGAATGAAGATGATAACGTCTTATATGAAAAGTACTTATTATAACAATAAACAAAACAGCGACTTAATGATTTGGATTGGATACTGGCCAGCCCATTTTTTTGGTATTCGAATCAAAAAAAATTTTCATTCCATTATTATTATATTGCGTGGCAAATGATCGTTTCATTCAAGAAAAAAATTTCGGGAAATGAAAAATATCATAATAATAACCGTGGATCGACAAGACTACGACAATTTATATATCGATATCGACTGACTGACTCGATGGATGATGATGATGATGATGACGAGAATTATCCAAGGCCTCCGTTGTCGTATGTTGATACTTTATTCTGTTTTTTTTAATGTTTTGATATCTGAACCTCTGTTTTTGTTCACTAGAAAAAATGGCTCATTCATTCAATGATGATGATGATGATTCTGGAACATTAATGTGTGTGTGACGCGGATATAATGTAATGTAAGTGTGTGTGTGTGTGCTTTATTGACGATCAACTTGCACTTGAAAATATCCGGATTGCTGAAAAAAATTGTCATCATCATTTAGTCTTCGTCTAGATTCTTGTGAGACAATGGAATCTGTATATTTAGAAACAAAAAAAAGGAGAAAAAAATCGAATAAAAAACTCAACTAAAAGAAAGAAAAGAATCTTTTTTTGTGTGTGGAAATCAAAATCTCTCTCTCCCTGTGTGTGTGTGTATTCAAACGGAAATGTATTATTTATTGGAAGATATTGAAGAATCTAGGAGATTCTATTCACAAATTGTGGGCTGTAAGTTTTGTCTCGTTTTCAACTGACTTTTATTCATTCATTCTGGTTTCTTTTCTATATTTTCTAGATCTGAATTTTGTATTTCCGAATTTTTTTTTTTGGTTCGGGCAAACGACACTCACATGAAAACGGAAAAAAATGGAATGGAATGAAATGTGAATATATTAATTCGTTTGAACCATAAACGGACGTATGAACGATCATCATCGTCATCGTCATCATGCATACACATGTCTTTAAGTTGTCAACTGTGTTTTATTAGTTTGTTATTATGTAATTTGTGTATCATACATGAATGTTGACAACCAGCCAGATGAATAACGACGACGTAAGACGAAATTCAACGGCCACACCATGAATTTATGTTTCGGTAAGTGAACCCGATTTTTTCTTCTTTTTGAATATAAAGTTGACTTGCTTTTCCTTTTCTTCTCTGGTGGTAGTTTTGTTGTTAGTCTGTTGTTGTTGTTGCTGTTGTTTTTGGATCAATTTTGATATTGATTGACTCAATCATTATTGTGGCACGAAAGACATTCATTCACCTTTGATGTGTGCATATGATGAATGCAGAAGACACTAGACACACGAACTAATTGTCATCATCATCGATGAAAATGACAAGCAAATTATTTCCGTATATACACAAACATAAAGATGACATTTATGTCTTTAAATGTCAAAATTTTATTGTTTCTCATCAACAACAACATTATAAGCACTACACGCAATTTTTTCTCATGAAATCAGTCGACACATTTGAAATTAAGATAGTCAACTGTGACTATTTAAATTGCATTGGACAACACAACACAACACGAGATTCATTTTATTTAAATAGCTAAAAAATGGGTGGACTTGTCGATTGCCAATCATCGATGAGTGAATTTTTTTTTTATATGCTGCATCATTATTATTAACAGAAACTGGATGTGTGTGATTTAATTTTCATCGTTTTCACTGATTCAATTTGATTGAGATGAAAATTTTGTTTGTTTTGTTTTATATCTTCAAATGTGATTTTCATTATTTTAACATTATCACAATAACACAATTTGATCCCGATGTATCAAGTCCACATGCATTCGATTCAATTGTTTTGTGTTCAATTCATAGTTATCGTTCAATTGGAAGGTCGTTCGATCTCTCAGAAGCGGCTGCTGCTGCTGCTGGTATGTCAACCAAATTAAATTGATTTGATCCAAAAAAGAGAAAACAAAATCAACATTATTAAATTATTCGTTCGTTTTCGTTTTCGTCGTTATTTTTCCTTGTAAATATAAATAAATAGATAGTGTTTCACAAGGCGAAAACACTTGTCTTGTTTGGATGTTTTTCTTTGTTGTTTCATTCATCGATGACATCCAATGATGATGGCAACAATTTTCATTCGAATAAAAAAAAATCAAAGAAAGAATTTAACACACACACACACATGAACAAATCAATTTGATTTTCGATAACACACACACAGAATTTGATTGTTTTTTCTTTGTTGTTTCGATTCAATTCAATCACACAAAGAATCGAGAATGTATCGAACAACAACAAAGAAGAAAATATGTCAATCAATGCAATTTGCCGTTTGAAAACAAAACAAAAATTATTAATAACATGTATATCCACTGATGACCGTTGATTATTGTGACAAAAATCAATGTCTAATGATATTTGTTATCATTATTCAAAATTTGACATGTCCATTGTGAAAAAACACAAACAAACACAGTGTAAAAAAAAGAAAATTTGACAAATGAATTAACACACACGCCCGGTTATCACATAATTTCGGTTCAATAAAGACATCGACACAAAGAGAGAAAGAGATGACAATTGAGAAATGTAGAATTTTTTTGTGTGTGTGTAAAACACCCGAAAATTATCCGGCTGAATTGAACATTCAAATGACATATGTCATTTAATCAGCGCTACCACCACCTGTTTGATGTCATTGGTTTGATGACAGAATTTTGAAAAGCAGAAAAAAATTTCAAATCGAATCGGAAAATTTTTTTCAAAGTTTTTCTCCAAAAAATGTTTCCACCCGAAATAAAATTTCAATGTTCGTCATTGATCTGTATGCGAAACGTATCTATCTCGTATGTTTAGGTTTCATCATCATCATCATCATTTTGGTGATGATTTCATGCACAAGCCGACTAAAAAAAACAGACGAAAAATTTTGATCTGGTTTTTTTAAATGCTGGTGGAACCCGAAGAAAAAGAAGAACAAGACGGTGAAGGAGGAGTGTAAATTCTGATTATTCTGGACCAGAAGAGAATCTCTGTCTGCATGCAGTTTCTTTTGTGATTCTTCTTGATTTCTTTTCTTTTTTGGTTGTTACGTTTTTTTTGTTTTCTTTCCAAAACTACTAGTAGTTGGGTGAGTAGTAGCATATTTTAGCGGCAACAGCACTAATAGACTATAGAATTTTGTATCCAAATTCTGGAAACACTGAAAAGAATGGATCTTCGATTCATTGGTTGTCATAGTAGTGGTATATAATGGGAGATGGTATCCCGTTTTGATCATTTTGGATTTTGTATTGTATGGATTGGCGGGCAGTGATTTTTTTCGACCAAAAAAACCAAACCCAATCAAGACGATAATTTTCGACCACCAACAACAACTACTACTGTAGATGGATGATAATGACCATCATGGATTTTTACCCTTCAATCCACCTAGTGGTGGTCACTACTTACTTTTTCGAGGTTTTCTTTTTTTCCCGCTGATGAAAAACCGTAGAAGCCGAAAAATGTTAATTGCATTATTATTATCATTACCGCCAATGACAAACAAGCAAGCAAGCAAGTTCGCCTGCTTGCCTGTCTAATGATGTTGATGACTATGATTAATGCATGTCGGTCAATTATCAATTAATTCAATGATAATTTTTTCTCTTTCTATTTTTTGATCATGTCATTCATTCAATGAGACATTCGTTCAGTCAGGGAGCCAACAGCTTACTGTATATTCCACTTGTCCATAATCAGTGGTAGTAGTGCAGTAAAATTCATTTATTCCATTTGGAACTGACCAATTTTTTTTAGTCTATCTATCTCTTTCATATGTTGATTGATAGATTGATTTTAGTTCCAATTTTCATGACTATAGTTTTTTTTATGGCCCGATTCTAGGCTACCAACCACCAATCATTTTGGAATAATTTTGGATCATTGTTATATCATTAACATTCTAGCAAAATAAAAAAATTATTGGAGACAAATTTTTTGACACATCATTGCTCATCAACACAATAACCTCGAACAATAAATAAATAATTCTTCTCAATGATGGATATAATCATCATTCATTCATTCATTCATTCGCATAACAACAACAACAAAACATCCAAACCATCATCATCATCATATCCATCATTTGTTCTTGGATTTCGATTTTCAATCCAATTTATCCATCCATCCACACACACACACACACAGACACAGACACAAAAACAATCTGTATATGCTTCTATTGAAATTGACTTTTTTATACTCTCATTTTGATGATAACTATACATACATTGTATTCTCGGCTTTGTTTTGGTACACTCACTCACTCACTCAGACACACAGTTTTTGGTTTCTCATAAAATCAATCCAATTAGAAGTGATTGTAATTAGATTATGTTTGTTGTTGTTTGGGTTGGTTATTTGTTTGGCGTTTTTTTTTTTTTTTTTTTGTTTTGGTCCTCATTGTTGTTATCCTGATATCCATTCATTCATTCATTTTGGATCTCTTTTCTTTTTTTGTTTTCAACATTTTCACGGTTATTGTTGTTGTTGTTGTGGTGGTGGTGGTGGTTTGTATAGAGATTTAGTTTTTTTTTCTTCCCATTGTTCTTGGACCAATCCAAGTATGTGTGTGTGTATGATGGATTTCTGGGTTATCATTTTTTTTGTCTTGTTTTGTTTACTCAAATGATGGTCTGAAATATGTTCGTGTGTTTGTGTAACCAATTTTTATATTCCAAGAAAATCATATTTTTCTCCTTGAACAAGCAAGAAATGTATCCATTTTTCGGTGTGTGGAATTCAACAATGATGAAGAAGCACTTAATTCAATTAAATTAAATCACTCTCTATGCTCATAACAGAAATGGATTTATTTTACTTTTAAAGATTTGATTTTCCATTTTAGCCAATTAATACTATCCATTGAAAAGAAATTTTGTCGAAAATGGCAATTTGAATTTCCAAAAAACATCAACAACAAACAAACATTCATCGATGTTTGGCATTCATATATAAATGATCTATATTTTCATCATAAATATTTAATCATCATCATCATCATCATTTGAATTTTATTCCATTCATTCTATATACATTTCTCTATTTATTCACATTTATTATCGATCTCGATATGTACCACACACACACATACATATAGTTTTCCAAATGTCCCCCTTCTCTTCCACATTTTGAATTGATGATGATAAAATGTATTTATGGCGAAAAAAAGACGAAAATCGTAATCATAATAATATGGAGCCACAGAAAAAAAACGAACGATGAATTGATGGTTATTTGATCTTTCTTTGTGTGTGTGTGTATTTGGTTTGTATTTTTTTTAAGAAAAAGCTGCCATTTACATATGTAGAAAAGCGAAAATTTGTTGTTTTTTCTATACTACGATTCCGAAAAAATAAACGAAAACCATTTACATCTATCTGTGTGAGTGTGTGTGTGTGTTGAACTATGAAAACCCGTTGCAATTTACAACATTTATTGAATCTTCTTGATTCATTCACATCAGAACTATGAATCAAGTTGATTATTCAAGTTCAATTCTGGTAAATGGTAAACAAAACATAAATTAGTTCAAATCATCAAATGTGGAAATAGTGAAATTCTATTTACACAAAGCTTCTGCTTACCTCGTTTTTGGTGAAAAATATATTCTTCAAAAAAATCTTTTTCTTTCAAATTCACTAAATCCGCTATTCATTCATTCATTCAAGTTCAGTTTCAAATCCCTTGATCATCCAGAGAGAGAGAGAGAGAGAGAGAGAGAGAGAGGGAGGGAGACTGGAAGAAAATCCATACCAAACAACGCACACACATGGATTGGTAGACAGAATGTGAATAAATTGAACGCCAAATGTGAATTTTTCGCGTCGGACACACATGAACTATATTTTCGGACACCGAAAACTAAATATGAATAATTTGTTGTAATGTCGGGTTTTTTTTCGCCGTCCCTCTCTTCCGATTACATTTTGAAATATGAAAAACACACACACACATACAAGTCGAAAAGATCAACAAACAAAACAAAAAATGAGACAACTGCACAATTTTTTCAATACAGCAATGGGCAAAGGGCAAATTATTTTTTTCTGTCCCAATTTCGTTCCTTATATTCTTTTTTTTTGGTTGAAATGTGAAATGAACCAAAAATGGAACCAGAATTTGGGTTTTTTTTTGTTTGGCTGGTATATGGAATTCAACACATGAATTACATGCACACAAATAATGGTAGTATGTTTTTGTGCAATACAAATAAATGTGAATAATCTATTTTTCGGGTGCCAACCAGAGAGAGAGAGAGAGAGATAAATTTTCCTCGCACACACACAGTTTTTTGCATGTCATTTGCATGTGTTGTGTTTTGTTTTTGCTTTAGTTGTTGTTGTTCGATTTGGAATCGATTTCAATCAATTCGATCGAGAAAACATTATAGAATCGGAATGAAAAAAAACTTGTTTCATTTTTTCTTCGTCGTCGTCGTATTTCAAATCTTTAGCAGATTAATAATTTGAATTTGAGTTTTATTTTCACAATAATAATTGATGATTTAGATTAATTTTTTGTCGAATAGCATTCCAATGTTTTTCTCGATTACAATTTTTTTAGTAATATAACAATAATCAATAGTAATAGTAATAATAATAATAATAATAATTCATAGATTCAAACTATTAATATCATCAATCAACATAATTAAGATTCATTTGTAATTTTAAATCATTCATCAATTTAAAATAATCCCAAGATGCGCCTCGTATACGTTTATGCTGCACGACAATTCGTTTATCATCACAACATATGAATATTTCCAATTCAAATGTCAATAATATGATATTCTTGCCTGACATTACACAACGTATCGTGTAACTTATTGGGTTGAACGAAAAATTAAAATTATGATTAGCATTCAAACTCAAAAAACTTTGAAAACTTACTTTTTCTCTTGACAATTGATTTGTCTGTCCATGAATAATCTGATAATTTCACTACGACATTTATCGGCATCGAAAAATTTCGTAGCAAAAACATTTTTCAATGATTTTCGATTATGTGATGATATACGTCTTGGCATATTGGTTGGTCGTGGACTTGCAATTTCTTTTATCCATTTCAATAATGTTTTCTTTGGTGTAGGCGTTGTCGTCGTCGTAGTAGTTTTATTCGCTAAATTCTCTTTGTTGCTGATATTAAGTTGTTGCTGCTGTTCGGATGAAATTTTCTTCTTTACCGGTGTTTGACGATGTTCATTTTTAGCCATCATTTTCTTTTGAACAATCTTCATTTGCGAACTTTCATCGTCTTGATTGAAAAGATTTCGATTAATTGGTGTTGCACGTTTAACTGGAAGTTGTACATGTTTACTATTAGCAACAGGCGTAAAACGTAGACCACCACCAAATCGTTGAATATTTTCTGTAGCCGGTGGAGCAGTTGTTTTTTTGCAACCACCATTAGCATTTATTGTTCGTTTCGGTGTCTCTTGTGGTGTTGATTGTGAGGCTGATTCAATAAGATGATGATTAGCATCATTGGCGATTTTCTTTAAAATGGGTAATTGATTATCATGATTAAATGAACGACTACGTCGACGATTTGTTCTTTCATGAATTTTTCGATCAAAATCCTGTGTGCATGGGAGTCGAATCATTTCATGTTAACTCTTTGGTTGTTTAATCTAATCATCACTTACCGGATATAATTCAGGTTTTTGTTTAATCAAAAAATATGTGGCACGATGATAACCAAGTTTTTCTCGAATCAAACGACGAAGTTGGCCAATATCTAGATGTGGAAATTTTACCAAACATTTGAGTAGAATTTTTTCATCAATCAACATTTCATCTTCATTTTCTACATTGTTATTGTTATTATTATTATTGTTGTGTTCGAATTTTTTGGTCAATTTATCAACATTTCCCATCATCATCCATTTGTGTCGTTTGATTTCTTCGACTGTAATACGTTTTTCTGGATCAATACAAAGCATTTGACGTATTAAATCTTTAACATCTGTATTTAAATGTACAGGCATTTTGTAACGACCTTCCTGTTAATTCAAGAGAAAAAACAAAGAAAATCACGAATAAATAGACGATCAATTAATTAATTTACCTTGATAGAATTATATAATTTTGCCAAATTTTCTGAATCAAATGGTAATGTTCCGGTCAATAAAACATAGAGCAAAACACCGGCACTCCAAACATCCACCGGTGGTCCAGAATAACGAGAACCTTGTATTAGTTCTGGTGCTACATATGCCGGTGAACCACATGCCGTGGATAGACAATCCAACGTCCCGTATGGATTAGTATCCGAACAAGCACAGAGGCCAAAATCAATGAGTTTTATATTCATTTTATCATCAAACAGGATATTTTCCGGTTTAATATCACGATGTGCAATACCTTTGCAATGAATATAATACAATATTTCGACCAATAAACCAAATATCTGTTTACTTTCTGATTCCAATAAACGTTTCGACAACAGATGATCGAACAATTCACCACCAGAACAATATTCCATTATCAAATAGATGAAATCGTCATTTTCAGCGTATTGTAATAGTTTCACGATGTTTGGATGTGAAAGCTTTTTCAATGCATCAACTTCATTTTTAATACGATGCAAATCTTTTGGTAATTTACGTTTTTCAACAATTTTCACGGCCACTTTTTGTCCAGTCATTTGATGTATGGCAAGTCTTACGATACCGAATCCACCTATTGATAAATAATTTTTGAAACAAAATGATTTCCATCAATCGTTCATTCAGTAAATTAGATTTACCTTCACCAAGTTTTTTCGAATGGAATTCATATCCATCTAAACAATGTTTGAGTGTCATGATGTTATTGTCGTCGTTAGTGGTGTGATAATGAATCGATCAAACAAAAACATTCAATGTGAAAAAAAACATGCAAAACAAAAAATTTTTTAATTTTTTGACAATAGAAAAAACATTTTTGATTCATCAATGATTCACATTCGATTAATTTGATTCATTCATTCAAATATGACTAATATTTGTGTGTGTTTTTTGTTGTTCACATATGACATGAAACATTTTTCTGTTTTCATGTTTTTTTTTGATTTTGCAAAAAATTTTCCATTTTCACATTTATTTTGTAATAGTTGATAATTTTTCATGATTTGATATCCATTCGGTATACAGTAAACAAGGTTTATTTATTTTCTTGTTTTTTTTTTTTTGATCATTGATTTCAATTACACACAAGAGTATCATCATTTCTTCTTTCATCTGTTTTGTGGTTTTCCATTGCCATTCCTTTTTTCAATTCAATTGAATTCATCAGGGTGCTATATGGTGATGACCACCATCATTACAATCGAGAAGCATATCTTTGGATTGATTTCATCGAAAAAAACAGAGATGAACATTCAAAGCTTATGTCTTTTTTTTCTTGAGCCAATAATTCTTTTTTTTCATTGGACCCATCTGGAATGATTTTCTTTGAGTTTTTTTGTTCTCGTTTTATTCATTCATTACCCAAAACCAAACATAAACAGCATTGCAAATTGAAATTGAAAATAACTATGAACAAATTTGTGAAACGAAAGTGGAAAAAAATGACCATTCTTACCGAATAAATTCAACTTAATTATTTTGAGAGTGTTAGCGATGATGATGATTTCAAATTTTTCCTGAAAAACAAGATCTTTTCACCAATGATTTCATTCCATAATGGCGAGACACAACATTTTCTTTTGATTACCATATAATTTACTTTAATTCAATTACATTTTATATCTATTTTTATTTTTATTTTTACTTCCATCCTCGTCATCAGCATGAGTAAAATCAAGTTGTTCAATCGTCGTGCTTTTAATGATAAATAATGACAAATCATTTCGATTCATTTCAAAACACTGGTGAATGTTGGCTTCACTGTCGAAATTTTTCTCGTGTGTGCAATGAATTTTCATTTGATTTTTTTTTTGCTGGTTGAAAATGGAAAAAAATTCCAATTCAATCGAGAAAAGAAAATGTTTCAAAAGATCGATTCATTTTTTTTTTCGTTTGACAATAAAGTGTTTATGACGTCGAGATAATAATAGTGATAACGCGTGGTTAGTCTTTTAATATTTTTTTCCTTCTCATTTTGTTCTCAGTGTTTTTATCATGGAGAATGAAAAGAAAATTCTGGACATTTTTTTTCTTTTCGTTTTTCGAGTGATAATAGCACCAACAACAATAATAATAAGCGACATTAGTGTCCAAATCGATTTTACAATCAAATCCATCATCTTGGTCGATTGTCGTTTTGGTTGTGAAAATGTCCGAATCATGTTTGTAAGAGTGTGGGAGAATAGAGCATTAAAAAACGAAAACAAAACAAAACAAAGAAATTTTCGTCGAACTCGAACAAAAAAACTCTTCAAGATCATAACATTCAGTTGAATAAGTTTGAAAATGGTGGTCAGTCCGTTGGTTTGGATTGGGAATAACAACAAAAAAACCATTCCCCATTATTATGAATGATACACAGTATAAACAAAACCATTGGAAAGAATTTTGGTCAGTTTCTCTTTTTTTTCTGGTGGGATATGCGACAAAGCGTAAAATGAGATTACCAAGAAATAAACAAAACAAAACAAAAAACTGTTGGACCATCTTATTTTTAGTGGTGGTGGTGGCGTGGTATCTTTCAAAAAGAAAATTGTATTCATTTTCCCAATTCTTTTGTTAAAGCAAAAGAAAAAATGAAATGAAAGCTAATTGCATTAAATCAAAATGATGATGATGATGATTATTGCTGTTGTTTTGTTTGTTGTGGATATTTGAAAATTTGATTCATTTCTTGAATCGAAGAAGAAGGAGAAGAAGTAATCATCATCATCATAATAGTCTCCCTTGTTATTAATAGTGAATAATGATCATACGTTTTTTTCGTCATCATCGTCTTATTATTCTTATTTTCCATGTTCGATATTTGTGTATACTTCTCAATAAAGTTTTTTTTTGTTATTTCTCTCTGAATGAAACTTGAATTGAAAGAGAAAAAAAAGTTTCATGAAAGCATTGATGAAACGATCCAGAAATTGTTGACTTTTATGATTGAGAATCAGAAAAAAACTCTCGAATCGATCAAATACATAGTCATATATAAAAAGAAGCATTTGTCACAAACATAAACATTGATGATGATTACACTTTATTTTAATTAAATCCATCATCATTTGGTTTGTTGTTGTTGTTGTTGTTGTTGTAGTTGTCAAGTACCTTAGGTAATAATAATTTCATTTTGATTAACTTTTTTTTCCACTTTTTCTATTGATCAATCAATCAAAATGTGGATGATCGGAAATGTGGAATTATTATGATGATTGGATGAAAATTACCTGAAGCTTTGGATTGGATGTGATGCATTGGTGATGGAAAAAACTTTTCTATTTTGTCGTTGAAGAGTTTGTTTTCTTTGCAACAAATTTAATTAACCAAACTGTTTTTTATGATAATGATCATCATTGTTACCATCTCTCGAATTTACTCTTTTTGTTGTTGTTGTTGTTGTCTTTCGTGCTTCATTTACGAAAGAAAAAGTTTTCAAACTCAAAAACAAAAATTATCCTGATTCATTAACATGCACGTGTGTGTGTGTGTGTGGAAAGGAATGATAAATAAAACTTTCAAATAAAAATTGGATGAATTAAAAAAACAAAGTGAAATTAATCCATATTAATTAAGAATGTAGTTTGATTTTTCTTGTTATTTTTTTATGAAAAAATTCCATCCGAATCGATTCCATGTGTCGACAACCACCCAATGTGTCGACTATGCGACGACGACGACAACAACAATAATCATCATTTTGATTTAATGAAAAAAATTCCATAATACCAACATGCATGACATGAGTCATTTTCTCTTTTTGTATAGTTACCACCACCACCCATTGGGTTAAACATCATGTGTCATGTTTTTTTTCGAACTCCAGACATATGTCTCATATCTTTTGTGTATTCCCGGGAAAAAACAAGAAAATCATGAACAATTAATATTTCGTAAAAATGAATTTTTTTCTTCTTCTTCTTCTTCGTCGGTCGATGATAAATTATTTCTGCTCATTCATTATTTTGCCTGCCATCATCATCATCATGTCATGTCGTTTATGAATGAGCGAAACAAATGATAATGAATGAATGATTGTGTTTTTAGGCCAAAGCTGATAACAATAACAACAACAACAACAAAAACAAAAAGAGAAAGAGAAAGCTGACAAGTCGTTGTAAGAAGAATCGAATGAAAAAAAAAAAAAAATTTAAATTGTTAATCTAATTACATTACATACTTGTAGACAGATTCAAGTTTTCGTTCAACGACGACGAAAAAAAAATTTCCTAATTTGTTGTCGTTGATGATGATGATGATGATGATGATGATGGGTGGTAAAGAAACGGAAAAGGAAGGCTCTTTTGGTTGTATTGCAGAATTGCTGACAACCCAAGACATTGATATTGTGGGCTTGTTTATTTAAATTAAATTAAACAAAAGAAGAAAGGAAAAAAACCCACTAAATGTTGTTATATCGTTGTTGATGATGAACATTCAACGACAACATTAACATTTTCTATGTGGGTAGGAATGTCCATTGAGATGATCATTGTGTATAACAGAAAGACTACATTCGATTTCTCAATTGATTTTTTTGAAAAAGATGAAAAAGAATTGTCTTCTCATCTCATTTTATTTTTATTCTTGGAGAAACACTTTGTCGTCGTCGTCGTCGTCGTCATCATCGTTAAAGTAACATAAATCACGTTGTATGTGTTTCTATTGTTGCAATTTTTTCTCATTCTTTTGTTGTTGATGATCGTCATCTAAATTGTTCCGGGAATAGTTTTTATTGGCCATACCAAAAACATAAAGAAAAGAATATCGGCCATCAATACACAGAACATCAAACCAAGACAAAATTCTTTCAAACTTTTCGTTTTTGTAACGTCATTGTTGAATAGGACGTCATTTTCTCATTGAATGACAGCATTTTTCGGATGTTTGAAAATGAAAAATAAGTGTGTGTGTATGTGTGTGTGCATCATTCTATTTGATGATGATCAAGTGATTGCTCACTGATGATGATGATGATAATGGTGATTGCCAAAAAATCTATTGAATAAATATCCCAAAATTGTATTTGTCATAATGAAATCTTTTTTCTTTTGGCGGATTTTGGTCAACGACAATTTTTTTTCTTTCAATCATTTAATGTGGTGATGATCTTCGAACAAAAGAGTTTTTCATACCATCCACACTTGGACCAGAAAATAAAAAACCAGTGGGTGACAATCATTGATGATGATTATCATTGTGCATTAGCACTATCATCATCATCTCCCGACGACGACCAAACGACAACTGTCATCATCATCATCATCATGGACCGACCAAAAATCTTTTGTTCCCACTTTTCTTCTATCTAAAAATCCTTTTGCTTCATCATCATCATCTCATCCAACCAAATGCAATGAATTGAAAGAAAGAAGAAAAAATTGAATAGCCGCCACTCAAAATCGGTACCATTAATCTTGATTTTCGCATTTGTTTCTTCTTATTCGTTTGTTCTCATCCATTTCATCTTCAACATTGAATTGTCAAAGAGAAAAATAATGTAATTCATTAAACTGTGTGTGTGTGTGTGTGTCTAAAAAGTGCGACAAACATTTTTTTTCGTTTTCTTTTTGAAATTTCGTAAAAAATCTTTTGAAAATCCCATGCAGATTTATTCGTCTTCGTCTTGATCGTCGTTTATTGTTGTAAATCAAAATAAATTGTCTCGATGTGGGGAGAGAGAGAAACATCACAAGGAAATGATATCCACTTTTTTCTTTTGCCGGAACTAACTTTGAATTTTTTAAGTGAATGATGGTGATGACAACAATCTAAATGGTCATAATGATAATTTCAAAATCATTTATCAGGATTTTTTTCATGTTTCAGGATAACTGAATTTTGATTTTACATTTCACAATTCATTTGAATTTCAATGAATTTTCAATTTTTTGAATCAAATAGTGCACCCAATTCCATCTGTTGTAATTTTTACGAATTGCATAGAATAATAACGTCTTTTATGGCCGGCCGATTTTTTGCTCAATAAATTGGCCATGGCCGGCCGCGTGTATTTGTACAATTGGTCTTGTCTTGTTTTTTTGGTTAATCCCGAATGAATGTCCTTTGATAATCGTTGACAACCCGTAATTTTTGTAATTTTAATTTTTTTTCAATCGCTAATCATTGTCATTAATATTTTTTCAAGTTTCAAACAAAAAAAAAATCATGTCTGGACACCATGGTGGTGATATTCCCGGACAACATCCACCACCTGGTATGCCTGTTGGTGTTGTTGTTTATCCTCATCATGCAATGCATCCCGGACAACCATATTTACCGATGGATGTAGCCGGTGTTTCTACACTGCCATCAGTTCATCCATTATTACCACCAGGTCATCATCATCCACCACCTGGAATGCCACAAATGCATCATCCGGGTGTGATGCCACCATACTCAATGATACCCCATCCAGCACAACAGCAACCACCGCCACCAATCATGTCGCATATGCATCAACAGCCACCACCATCATCATCGCAACAACAAATTCAATCAGATTTAGCCAATTTACCATTGCCTACCGAGTATGATCGTAATTCGTTTCTAACCGAAGAAGAATTGAAAGAAAAATCAAAAAAATGGCAACAACTTCAAACGAAACGTTATGCAGAGAAGAAAAAATTTGGCTTTGTTGAACAACAAAAAGAGGATATGCCGCCAGAACATTTACGAAAAATTATTCGTGATCATGGTGATATGACATCGAAAAAATATCGTCACGATAAACGTGTTTATCTCGGAGCATTGAAATATATACCACATGCAGTTTTGAAATTATTGGAAAATATGCCAATGCCATGGGAACAGATTCGTGATGTACAAGTTCTCTATCATATTACAGGAGCTATAACATTCGTGAATGAAATTCCATGGGTTGTCGAACCGATTTACATTGCTCAATGGGGCACAATGTGGGTTATGATGCGACGAGAGAAACGTGATCGTCGTCATTTCAAACGTATGCGTTTTCCTCCATTTGATGATGAAGAACCACCACTAGACTATGCAGATAATCTACTTGATGTTGAACCATTAGAAGCCATACAAATGGAACTTGATTCAGAAGATGATCGTCATGTTTATGATTGGTTTTACGATCATAAACCATTGGTGGATACAAAACATGTTAATGGATCATCATATCGTCGTTGGAATTTAACGCTACCACAATTGGCTTCATTATATCGTTTAGCAAATCAACTATTAACCGATTTAGTTGATGATAATTATTTCTACCTGTTTGATCTGACATCATTTTTTACGGCCAAAGCATTGAATATGGCCATACCTGGTGGACCAAAATTTGAACCATTAGTCAAGGATATAAATCCAGCTGATGAAGATTGGAATGAATTCAATGATATCAACAAGATTATTATTCGTCATCCAATACGTACCGAATATCGTATTGCATTCCCATATCTATACAATAATCTGCCAAATGAACATGTTTATATTTCATGGTGAGTTTTCAGTGTTTGAAAAACATTTTTTCACAAAGTTCATTATTCAACGATTCTATTTTTTTCAATTGTCAAATTTAAAAAAAAATGTTGAATTATGACAAAATCAATCACGTTGTATGCGTATTGGCTTTGAACGTTTGAAAGATTAATCTGTCAAAGTCGCTGAATATCAATGACATGTTTTAATTTTTAATTTTTTTCTATTTTCACTCAGGTATCATACACCGAATGTTGTGTTTATCAAAACAGAAGATTCTGATCTTCCGGCATTCTATTTTGATCCACTTATTAATCCTATTTCACATAGCCGTACAGATCGTTCAGCTGAACCATTACCTGTTGAAGATAAAGATGAGCCATTTATGTTACCCGAATCGGTTAAACCATTATTATCGAATTGTCCATTGTATACGGATAATACTGCCAGTGGAATATCACTATTGTGGGCACCACGTCCATACAATCTTCGTTCGGGACGTTGTCGTCGTGCTATCGATGTTCCATTGGTACAAAGTTGGTATCGTGAACATTGTCCACCTGGTATGCCGGTCAAAGTTCGTGTTTCATATCAGAAATTATTGAAATATTTCGTTCTGAATGCCCTGCATCATCGTCATCCGAAACCACAGAAAAAACGTTATCTTTTCCGATCATTTAAATCGACGAAATTTTTTCAAAGCACCACTATCGATTGGGTCGAAGCTGGTCTACAAGTTTGTCGTCAAGGTTATAATATGCTGAATCTATTGATTCATCGAAAAAATCTGAATTATCTTCATTTGGATTATAATTTCAATTTGAAGCCCGTGAAAACATTGACAACTAAAGAACGTAAAAAATCTCGTTTCGGTAATGCTTTTCATCTTTGCCGAGAAATTCTTCGTCTTACGAAATTGGTAGTAGATAGTCATGTACAATATCGATTGAATAATGTTGACGCATATCAATTGGCCGATGGTCTGCAGTACATTTTTTCTCATGTTGGCCAATTAACTGGAATGTATCGATACAAATATAAACTAATGCGACAAATACGAATGTGTAAAGATTTGAAACATTTAATCTATTATCGATTCAATACTGGGCCGGTTGGCAAAGGACCTGGTTGTGGATTCTGGGCACCAAGTTGGCGTGTATGGCTGTTTTTTATGCGTGGTATAACACCGCTTCTAGAACGTTGGCTTGGTAATCTTCTTTCACGACAATTCGAAGGTCGACATTCAAAAGGTGTAGCAAAAACTGTGACAAAACAACGTGTCGAGTCACATTTTGATCTGGAATTACGTGCATCGGTTATGCATGATATTATCGATATGATGCCTGAAGGAATTAAACATAATAAAGCACGGACCATATTACAACATCTGAGTGAAGCTTGGCGTTGTTGGAAAGCTAATATACCGTGGAAAGTGCCCGGATTACCGATTCCAATCGAGAATATGATTCTTCGTTATGTTAAAATGAAAGCCGATTGGTGGACCAACACCGCTCATTATAATCGTGAACGTATTCGTCGTGGTGCTACTGTCGACAAGACTGTTTGTAAAAAAAATCTTGGCCGTCTAACACGATTATATTTGAAAGCTGAACAAGAACGACAACACAATTATCTGAAAGATGGTCCATATGTTAGTGCCGAGGAAGCTGTAGCAATCTATACAACCACGGTTCATTGGTTGGAAAGTCGTCGTTTCTCACCGATACCATTTCCACCACTTTCGTATAAACATGATACAAAATTATTGATTCTAGCATTAGAACGATTGAAAGAAGCATATTCGGTTAAATCACGTCTTAATCAATCACAACGTGAAGAACTTGGCTTAATCGAGCAAGCATATGATAATCCACATGAAGCATTATCACGTATTAAACGTCATCTTTTGACACAACGTGCATTTCGTGAAGTTAGTATTGAATTCATGGATCTTTATTCGCATTTGGTTCCTGTTTATGATGTTGAGCCATTGGAAAAAATTACCGACGCCTATCTGGATCAATATCTTTGGTATGAAGCCGATAAACGACATTTATTTCCAGCCTGGGTTAAACCTGCCGATTCAGAACCACCACCATTATTAGTGTATAAATGGTGTCAAGGTATTCTTTTCTTGTGTTTTGTAACACACTAATACTAATGGTTTTTTTTATATTCGATTTTAAGGTATCAATAATCTACAGGATGTATGGGATACAACACATGGTGAATGTAATGTAATGTTGGAAACAAAATTCGAAAAAATGTATGAAAAGATTGATCTTACACTTTTGAATCGTTTATTACGATTGATTGTTGATCATAATATTGCTGATTATATGACTGCCAAAAATAATGTTGTCATCAATTACAAGGACATGAATCATACAAATTCCTATGGTATTATACGTGGTTTACAATTTTCATCATTTATTGTTCACTATTATGGTCTTGTACTCGATTTGCTTGTACTCGGACTGCAACGTTCAAGCGAGATGGTCGGTCCACCACAAATGCCAAATGACTTTCTTACCTATCAAGATGTAGCAACGGAAATTTCTCATCCAATACGTTTATATTCACGTTACATTGATCGTATACATGTTTATTTCCGTTTTACAGCTGAAGAAGCCAGAGATCTGATACAACGATATCTTACTGAACATCCAGATCCAAATAATGAAAATATTGTCGGTTATAATAATAAAAAATGTTGGCCTCGTGATGCACGTATGCGACTGATGAAACACGACGTTAATCTTGGTCGTGCTGTTTTTTGGGACATCAAAAATCGTCTACCACGTTCGGTTACTACCATACAATGGGATAATAGTTTTGTTTCCGTCTACAGTAAAGATAATCCAAATCTGTTGTTCAATATGGGTGGTTTTGAATGTCGAATCCTTCCGAAATGTCGTATGGCACAAGAAGAATTTGTACATAAAGATGGTGTATGGAATCTACAGAACGAGGTGACAAAAGAACGAACTGCACAATGTTTTCTTCGTGTCGACGATGAATCAATGCAACGATTTCATAACCGTGTTCGTCAAATTCTCATGGCATCTGGTTCGACGACATTTACTAAAATTGTTAATAAATGGAATACGGCACTGATTGGTTTGATGACCTATTTTCGTGAAGCAGTTGTGAATACTCAAGAATTGTTGGATTTATTGGTGAAATGTGAGAATAAAATACAGACACGTATCAAGATTGGTTTGAATTCCAAAATGCCAAGTCGATTCCCGCCTGTTGTATTTTATACACCAAAAGAATTGGGTGGTCTTGGTATGCTTTCAATGGGTCATGTACTTATACCACAATCCGATTTACGATGGTCCAAACAAACTGATGTTGGTATTACACATTTTCGTTCGGGTATGTCACATGATGAAGATCAAGTTATACCGAATCTATATCGTTACATACAACCATGGGAAACGGAATTTATTGATTCACAACGTGTATGGGCTGAATATGCTTTGAAACGACAGGAAGCATTGGCACAAAATCGTCGTTTAACATTGGAAGATCTGGAAGATAGTTGGGATCGTGGTATACCACGTATTAATACATTATTTCAAAAAGATCGTCATACATTGGCATATGATAAAGGTTGGCGTGTACGTACCGATTTCAAACAATATCAGGTACTAAAACAGAATCCATTCTGGTGGACACATCAACGTCATGATGGTAAACTGTGGAATCTAAATAATTATCGTACCGATATGATACAAGCGTTAGGAGGTGTTGAAGGCATACTGGAACACACGTTATTCAAAGGAACATATTTCCCTACATGGGAAGGTTTGTTCTGGGAAAAGGCCAGTGGTTTTGAAGAATCAATGAAATATAAAAAATTAACGAATGCACAACGTTCTGGTTTGAATCAGATACCGAATCGTCGTTTTACATTATGGTGGTCACCAACAATTAATCGTGCCAATGTTTATGTTGGTTTCCAGGTGCAACTAGATTTGACCGGCATATTTATGCATGGTAAAATACCAACATTGAAAATATCATTGATTCAAATATTTCGTGCACATTTATGGCAAAAAATCCATGAAAGTGTTGTCATGGACTTGTGTCAGGTTTTTGATCAAGAATTGGATGCATTGGAAATTGAAACCGTGCAAAAAGAAACAATTCATCCACGTAAATCATATAAAATGAATTCATCATGTGCAGATATCCTGCTGTTTGCCGCCTATAAATGGAATGTATCGCGGCCATCACTTCTGGCTGATAGTAAAGATGTGATGGATGGAACAACAACACAAAAATATTGGATCGATGTACAACTTCGTTGGGGTGATTATGATTCACATGATATTGAACGTTATGCACGAGCGAAATTCTTGGATTATACAACCGATAATATGAGTATTTATCCATCACCAACCGGTGTTTTAATTGCCATCGATCTGGCATATAATCTGCATTCAGCATACGGGAATTGGTTTCCGGGCGCAAAACCATTGATACAACAAGCATTGGCTAAAATAATGAAAGCAAATCCAGCTCTCTACGTACTTCGTGAACGTATCCGTAAAGGTCTTCAGCTTTATTCCTCCGAGCCAACTGAACCTTATCTATCATCACAGAATTATGGTGAATTATTTTCCAATCAAATCATTTGGTTTGTCGATGATACGAATGTATATCGTGTTACGATACATAAAACATTCGAAGGAAATCTAACGACCAAACCGATTAATGGTGCCATTTTCATATTCAATCCACGTACTGGACAGTTATTTTTGAAAATTATTCATACAAGTGTATGGGCTGGACAAAAACGTCTCGGTCAATTGGCCAAATGGAAAACAGCCGAAGAGGTTGCCGCTTTGATTCGTTCATTACCTGTGGAAGAACAACCGAAACAGATTATTGTAACACGAAAAGGAATGTTGGATCCATTGGAGGTAAGTCAGGAGAAATTTCTCTCAAATTCGGGCTATACACATTTTTTATCGAATATTTTTGGAAAAAGTAATTGTTTTATTTTTTCAATTTGTGGAAATGTTTGATGAAGAAAATTTCAAGCCCAAAATTAATTATCCAGTATCATAGTGTTGGATGTGATTGGCTCTCGATGTGATGATTTTTTTTTTAATAATCATACAGCCAATTTTGATTCCATTCAATTTCCCATCCCTGTGACATTTTGATTTTAAAAAAACATGCTAATTTGTTTTTTTTTTTTGCTTTCTAGGTTCATTTGTTGGATTTTCCAAATATCGTTATCAAAGGTAGTGAACTTCAGCTACCATTCCAAGCGTGTCTAAAAGTGGAAAAATTTGGTGATCTCATTCTAAAAGCTACTGAACCACAAATGATTCTATTCAATCTTTATGATGATTGGTTGAAAACCATTTCATCGTATACAGCTTTTTCACGTTTGATTCTTATATTACGTGCATTGCATGTGAATAATGAACGTACCAAGGTGATATTGAAACCAGATAAAACAACCATTACGGAACAACATCATATTTGGCCCAGTCTGACGGATGAAGAATGGATTAAAGTTGAAGTTCAATTGAAAGATTTAATTCTAGCTGATTATGGTAAAAAGAACAATGTCAATGTAGCATCATTGACACAATCAGAAATTCGTGACATTATACTCGGAATGGAAATATCGGCACCATCCGCCCAGCGGCAACAGATTGCTGAGATTGAAAAACAAACAAAAGAACAATCACAATTGACTGCAGTGACCACACGTACAGTGAATAAACATGGTGATGAAATTATTACATCGACAACATCCAATTATGAATCACAATCATTTGCAAGTAAAACTGAATGGCGTATTCGTGCCATTTCAGCTACAAATCTTCATTTGCGTACTAAACATATTTATGTTTCATCCGATGACATCAAAGAAACTGGATACACTTATATATTGCCGAAAAATATATTGAAAAAATTCATCATCATCTCGGATCTTCGTACACAGATTGCTGGTTATATTTATGGTGTGAGTCCATCGGATAATCCACAAGTGAAAGAAATACGTTGTATTTTAATGCCACCACAATGGGGCACTCATCAAACAATTCATCTACCGAATCAATTGCCGCAACATGAATTGTTGAGCGAACTTGAACCACTTGGTTGGATACATACACAGCCGAATGAATTACCACAATTATCACCACAAGATGTAACGACACATGCAAAAATAATGATGGATAATCAATCATGGGATTCGGAAAAAACCATTGTCATCACTTGTTCATTCACTCCTGGTTCATGTTCATTGACAGCATATAAACTGACTCCCAGTGGTTTCGAGTGGGGCCGTCAAAATACTGATCGTGGTAATAATCCTAAAGGCTATCTACCATCACATTATGAAAAAGTACAGATGCTTTTATCCGATCGTTTTCTTGGTTTCTATATGACACCGGCACAAGGTTCATGGAACTATAATTTTATGGGTATGTTGTATATTGTTTTTTTTTCGTTCTTTCCCGTTAATTTTTTTTTCTAATTATTTCCACATCCATAGGTGTACGCCATGATCCATCGATGAAGTATGAATTACAGCTATCGAATCCAAAGGTTTTCTATCATGAAATTCATCGTCCAGCACATTTTTCGAATTTCACCACAATTGATGAATCCGATTATGTTGGCGCTGATCGTGAAGATGTTTTTGCTTAATGAAAAACAAAAACAAAACTCAATTATTGATTGATTATTGATTTTTTCTCATTCTCTTTATTTCAATTTCATCATCATCATCATCGACATTTGCAGTAAACATCAAAATCAAAATAACCAAACCGACAATAGAACGAGCAGTGGATTGAGTACCACTAATAAATCCAAGGTAACAAAAAAAATTTGATTTCAATTCTCAAATGTATCCCCAATCCATAATCAGAATATTATCATTGTTCAACGACAAAACAAACATTTCGGTAATCACCATGTAAATGATGATGATTATGATTCGGCCGGTCAATCAAACAAACTGATGAAAGTTCATCATCATCATCAACAGCATCGCATGATGATGACGAACCACCTTCTACAAATGTTGGTAAAGCTGTTGTAAAACAACAAAACGGAGAATGTCATAGTCGTCAAATAACTCGTTCAATTGATATTCAAAGAAAAATGTAAGTTTACTCATTCTTACCCATAGTTTGACTGACTTTTGTTTTCTAGCGATTACGTGGGATAGCTTAAATATCCACCTGGATGGACAAACGTACTACTTTATCCGAATCAGGTGCTGTAGGCATATTTTCAGTTCATTATCCGATAATTATGTTGGTTATTATGGACCACCGTCATCATCATCATTAGAATCCCTGGAATTTTATTGGATTGTTTTGAATATGACGACAATATCGTTGATGGTGATGAAGATGGTGATGATTTTAGTATCGATGATCTTATGAAACCAAAAATGTGTTACATTTTCCGAGAAACAAGCAACATATGTATTTCGTCCTGGATCCAGTATACTTGGTCGACGGCAAAAATCAGAAAAGCAAAGAAAAAGGAACGTGAACTACGTAAAATGGTATCATCATCTGAACAATTGGATGATAATGATGACTATGATGATGATCGACGACATAAACGACTTACATTTGTTAATGATTTACGAAATGCAATCGAATTGCAACGATATGCAAAGGGAATTGTTGCCAAAACAACATCCATGATGATGATGATGATGATGATCTCGATTCACTTTGTTCATCAACTGATTTATCATCATCAGTTGAAAGTAGTAGCTGTTGTGATGATACAACAACATCGGCATCGGATTGTTCATCAGCTGATGAAATGTCTACAACAACAACAACTACATCACTATTGAATCCATATGAAGATGAAATCAATCTAAATGATGATAATTGTAATGGACAACAAATGTATCAACAAAACAAAAAAATCGTCGTCGTCGTCGTAATCGTAAGAATAAATTATCAATAAAACATTATTGGAAACAGGTGGCTATGATAGGTGATTAATCGATCGGATTCTGCCATATCATCATGTTACGAAGCGATTCCTCAAAATGCCTCAAAACAAATTTCGTTCTTTCAAATTATTCAAATTATTATCTACGTTTATTATTGTTTGTTGGAAACTCTCATCTTATATTTTATTCTACTATTGATATATTGATTCTCAGGCCAGTTTGATTATTATGAAATATTATGGAAAGTTTTATTCAACTTATATTGTTCTCGTATCACATTATTTTGATCAAAATTTGAATTCTTCTGTGGACAATTGACGAAAATAATCAATGTAACCGAATTGGGCACAAATGTGTGCCATATTTTGTGATGGATTAGCATTGATATGCTTTACATTACTTTCTTATGACGATGATACTTAATAGATTGAAATCTTGTCATGGAACATTGGCAATTTATCTTTAAGACAATATGCATGAAATAAATCTCACCTTCATCGTTTCGTGGATCGATATAAACTGAATGCAGTACGTGTTGATGAATTTTCAACAGATGCAAAAGAATTTCATAATTATTTTGGTTTTATTATCACAATAATTGGTATAAAATCAGTGATTCCTTCACGTGCCACAATGTCGTAATGGATATAATCTTCAACCTTAACTTCGACAACCGAATATGGTTCCAGAGAAAAACTTTAGTCAAGAATTGATTTGCTAACGATAAGAATGATGTCATTTCAAAAAATTGCTTGATTCTAAAAAGAAAAACAACAAGATTATAATTTAAGTATAATAATGAGGTTGCTTTTATCGAATAATTGTACCTCGAATTATAACAGTTGTGTGTCATTCGATGATTGCCAGATTGAATAATCAAATGAAATTTTCCTATTCATAAAACTGTCATGAATTTCCTTTTTCTTTTTGTTTTTGTGGTTTTGGCATGTCGTCCCTTGTCAGCGGGTTTTTGAGTCATTCTCGCTAAGGGTCGCATCATTGTGTTCGTCCAAATTGGGCGGAGCAAAAATAAAAATACGATACAGCTCCCTGCCTCCGGTAGCGCAGCGGCAGCGGGTCCCCATAATTTAACACACATGCGTACACGTGGCAATCGAGAAGGTCGTGTTCGAGTTGATCATCTCAGATTCGACCTGAATTTTGCCACTTGGTCAATCCATTGATGATTGATTTGGGTGGAATTCGACCCAATTTTGATTTTTTTTTGCCAGATTCGTGTGTCTCCCCTTCTGGTTGATTGAAATGTGCGCAATCAATTGTAATGAATTTTTTTGAATTTTTGCCGATGCATAAAAAGGTTTCGACAACGAACGTAATTCACCGAAATATTGATGTACGAAAAGAAAAAAAAACATAAGACGAAAAAAAAAATAACAGATCTTTTATCAAAAACAAAGGCTTTATTAACGAGATGATTTTTCTCGATCAAAAAAAAAAAACTAAACAAAAGTGAGAAATTTATATGCAACAGAAAAAACCAAAAAACGTTTTCTGATGACACACAGGCCAAAAACATGCACACACGCGCAGTCGTAGTTTAACAGTCAATTGATTGATGATTGAATTTCGATTGAAAAATTGGGTTCTGAATTTCATTATTACATCATCGTTTTTTTTTAATTAAAATACAGCTAGTTTGTTCGTGTTGGTTCTCATAATCTAGTTGATTGAAATATGCGCAATTTGAAGCTTGTGAGTTCGATCCTCACCCGCGGCAATTTAACCCTTCGTTGGTGGAATTCAATGTTCGTCTTATTCGTTTGATATTTGCCACGATTTCTCGTGGATTATATTTAGGAATCTTTGTTTGCCAGCCATTGCCAATACCTTCTGTACCATTAACTAAAACCAATGGAATAATGGGTACATAGTAATCGGGTTCAATTATTTTATTATTTTCATATTGATATATCAATAATGGATCATCGATCGGTAGTAACAATTTTCTTGTTAATGGATTTAACTTTGTGGCTATATAACGTGGACTGGCTGCATCTACCCCGCCAAGAAGTCGGGTGCCGAATTGGCCAATCGGTAGAAGTAAATTTATATTGTAATGGTCGTATGTCAGTGGCGCGACACCAAGTGGCGGTGTAGCTAAGCAACACGTGTTGTGTTGCTCATTGTTCGATAATTCGATTGATGATTGTTAAGTTGCTGTTTGAATGTCATTGAATAAAGTCATATTTTGTAGATTTGAAAATAAGTCTCCCATTTATTTGTGTGATTGCGAATGATAATACATTACAATATTATTACTTCCAATAAAATTTTGGCCCAATTTTATGATTAAAGGCATCAAATATCGACCACCATGTCTATATGCTGTACATTGAGCCGTAAATCCAGCTAAATGTGTGACTTTTGTTTCACTATCATCATTTTGTGTGAAACAAGTGAAAATAATTTTGCGTTGAGCAGTTTTAAAACCATCAACCAATGATGGTAGCGATCGTGCATTTAAATCAATAAAATAATTGATAAGTTCTTGTTTGACGAATTCGTTCATTGAGATTTTTTTTGTCATATGTCCATAAAGAAATGCAAGTTTTTGACCATTTTTACGTCTTATACGACGTTCTTCCATTTTGCAGCATAATTCGGTAAAAAATCGTTATCTATGAATGGTGCAAGAGCCGAGCGAGCTCAACGAATTTCGCGCCAACAAGAGAAACACAAGACAGACACACACACAGTCGCAAGTCACTCGGGTTTTTTGACGTACACACTCACACACACGTAAATCAACACATTGATGTTTTTCATTTTTTCACAAATCGTTCTTTTCAATAAAGTTAATTACAAACATTCGGGTTCGAGTTTACATTCCTGTGCACATTTCTTTTAATATCCATTCTCTTTTGGCAGCAATATATTCCGGATTAAACGCCAAATTAAATGCGTCATCATCTTCTTTGCCGTTATATTCGATATCAATACGATGATGATCTATATCCGAAAAATATTCGATTGCCTCTTTGGATGTTGAAGTGGCTAATCCTTTAAAACAAACAACAAACAAAAATGTTGGTAAAAAAATTAGCATATCATCAAATATAAAATCAAAATCAAGAAAAAAATACCTTTGTAATATTTGGTGTTATATGAACGATAATTGGTCGTTTTTTGCCTCCAATCTTCATATTCGAGCTCCGAATAGAATGGACGTTTGAAAGTACCTTTGGTTACTTTTAATATGGGCGTGATAAATTGTTGGACAAAATTCATTTTTAATAATGTTGGCCAAAGGAAATGAATGAAATTTATGAATAAACCTTTGATATGAGACCCGTCATGGTCTTGATCAGTCATTATCAACACTTTACCATATCGAAGGGTATTCATATCATCATCTGTTGTATATTTTTTTCCAAATTCAAGGCCAAGAATTTTTACTAAATTCTTTATTTCGGCATTTCCATGGATCTCTCCATTTGTTGCTGCACGGACATTCAAAAATTTACCATGCAATGGAAATGCCCCGAATTTAGTACGGCCAACTATATCGAGACCAACTTCAATGAAATATGCAGCTGAATCACCTTCAGTCAATATTAAGCTCAAGTCAATCCAGCGCTAGTTGCGTCATTGCTTCAATCCATGCATTCGATGATGATTGCAATGAAAAGAGATCGTGACACATTGCAAGCGATGGTCGTTGACATGAGAAACGAACGCAGATCACGACCCGCATCAAATATCGATATGCCTCCATTCATTGATACAGATCCACGTGGATGGCTCGAAGCGGTGTCAGCTTGTTTTAATGCGGCACACGTTAACGATGAAAAGGATCAATTTTTCAAAATTGTTTCCCAATTGCCAAAAACCATACGTGATAATCTTAAACATAAAGTTTGATCCTCACCGATTACACCATTGGCAAACTGGCCTCACTACAAAGAATTGATCATTCGTGAATACGAACTTTCCGAAACAATTCGTCGAGATCGAATCCTCAGTCGCAAAGACTTAGAGAATCAAAACCATCTGTGGCCTGGTCATGGTTGATTAAATAACAGAAAACGTTTCACAATCGTTCAACTTCTTGCTTTTTGGGAGAAGCTACTACCCAAGGACATTGGATTATCGATTCACCACGTAATCGTTCCAATTGAACGCCAATTAACAGAGAATCCCAATGATCCGCAAGTGTTACAAAGTATTGCAGGTATCGTACATATGGCTGATTCATTGATTGAAAAGTATGGTACCACCACCAACAATCATCAGGTTTCTGCGATCTCACGCTCTCGAACCGCAAGCACCACCAACAACAACAACAACAACCCCAATAGCAGAAACATCCGCAAGCGCCAAGCGTTTCGAGATGATGGACCATACTGCCGTAATCATTTCTTATACGGTAATCGAGCGAACAGATGTGGAAGACCGCAATCGTGCACATTTTTAAGTCGATCCAATCGGTCAAACCAATCAAGAAATCAATCAAGTCGATTCAACAATCCACGTTCCAACTCACCTAGTCGTAGTCAATCACCGAATCCATCACCACAACAACAACCTTCATCAACAACAACAACAACAGCGAATCAAACAAACTAGTCGAACCGGTTATAAGTCCTAGATCGGTTCCTAATCAAAGGCAATCAATTATCAGCGCCATTCATTCAAATAATCAATCAAACACAAATTCAAATATCAATAATCACAACGATGATCATCATGTAAACAATAACAATAATCACAATCATAATCATGTAAACAACAGTCACAACAACAATCAAAATCATTCAATCAATCACAACAATCATAATCATATCAATAGGAATTCCTTATCATTCAATTCATACGTCAATAAAATTGTCTCACAAATGTACAACAACGTTCTCAATAAATGTTGTGCTGGATGGGGTACATGTTATTTTATATTAATTTACATTGGCACCAGTACTTGAAGCTTCGTGAGTTCGATCCTTCCGGGGCATCTGGTGGATTCGACCCAAAGTTTTTGAATTTTTGCCATCCGTCAATTTGTGATGATTGAATTTCGATTGAAAAATTGGGTCTCTGAATTTCATTACATCATCATTATTTTTATAAAATACAGCATAGATTTGTTCGTGTTGTTCCTAATAATCTGTTGATTGAAATGTAAAAGCAATTTGAATGCGTAGAGTTCGGTGATCCTCACCAGGGGCATCCTGGTGGATTCGACCCATAGTTTTTTGAATTCTTGCTGGCCTCGTCAATTGATTGATGATTGAATTTCTGATTGAAAAATTGGGTTCTGAACCCTCATTATTACATCATCGTTATTTTTAATTAAAATACAGCTTGAAGTTTGTTCGTGTGTGTTCTAATAATCCTGGTTGATTGGAATGTTTTGAATTTGAAGGTGTGAGTTCTATCCTCACCCGCGGTAATTCAACCCTTCGTTGTTGGTGGAGTGGGGGCGGATTTGACCCGTTCTTGTTCAATGTTCGTTCTATTTCTAATGTATCCTCGGTTCCTGAGCTTCATGAATTTTAGTCACTCCACGATAGCCACTGATCCTGTCCATAATTCCCAAAGGTTTCGCATCAAACCCTGAGCTACAGTTCTGAAGATATCACATATAATATACATGTTTTTGAACATATTGATTTTTAAACTGATTATGTTTCAAGGCTGATGTATATAAATACTTTTTTATTTTTTGTTTATGGTAAATTATTCCCGGTAAACCTAAATACCATTACAAAGTAAGTTTCAAAAACTTCGGACGTTTCATTGAAGAGCAATCATTTAACAAAAAATGCGTTTTTTTTGCGCCCTCTACAGTTCCTATCCCCCTTAACTTTGTGGCTATATAACGAGGATCTCGAGCCTCTTGCCAAATTGTCCAATAGGCAGCAATAAATTGATGTTGTTGCTCCCAACAAAATTCTGGGCTAATTTTATAATTAATGGCATCAAAAATCGACCACCATGTTTATAGGCAGTAGATTTAGCCGTGAAACCGGCTAAATGAGTGACTTTTGTTTCACATTCATCATTTAATTTGAAACAAGTATAAATAATTTTTCGTTGAGCAGTTTTGAAACCATCAACCAACGATGATAGGGATCGTTCATTTTGTTCAATAAAATAATTGATTAATTCTTTCTCGACGAAATCTTTCAATGTGACTTTTCTTGTGTTATATTCATAAAGATATGGTACTTTTTCACCATTTTCCCGTCTTAATTGATGCCCTCCGGCCATGAGCATTTTGCTTTATCCATTGTTTTTTTAGTTTCCATTTATCCGGATTAAGGTCAAATCAAAATGTACCATCAGTAAATAATGTTCAAAATATTTGTTATAATAAACAACAACAACAACAACCATATAAATCTTCATCTTATCATGATTATTCTGATAATATCTACGCATATAATAATAATGTTTATAATAATTATCAACAACAATCAACGACAATTGTAAATAATAATCATCATCATCAATTTGATAATAAACCTATTGATAATTCAATGGTTATTAATAATAATGATAATAATAATTACAACAGTTATCCACAAATGAATCATATTGATAATAATAATTCATATCCATCAATGTTATCGACAACTACAAGACAACAATCATCATCGATTATTGATCCATTATTGACACCACCATTAATTAATAGCAATAATAATAATTGTCATCATCATCATCATCGCCGTCCTTCAACCCTTGTGGTTAATAATAATAATAATAATAATGTACCAATGACCAATTCTACCGGTTGTTATAATAATTATCCAGCAATTGATCAGCAACAACAATCATCATATTGTAGCAATAATAATAATACAGCCTTAACATTGACCAATGGCCATCAACATCATACACATCATAATTCATCGATAATTATAACGGATGAATTTCTTAGTCCACCATCATCAATATCATCAAATTGTTCATCATCATCATCATCATCATATAATAATGGCAATGGTCATTGGCCATTATCCAATGATCTACAAATGCAACAACCAATTCGTGTTTCAACATCATCGACAGCGACACCACCAACAATAAATAGCAATAATCAACGGAATTTATTGAATAATACACCAAATTCATTAGCAAATAATTCATCATTTTTTCTACATACACCATCACCATCATCATTATCACATTCACCAGGTAATAATAATAATTCATCAATTCCAATGATTTTTCCAACAACATCGGCCACGACGACGACAGACGATCGAGAAAAATCATCTCGTTAATAAAGCCTTTGTTTTTTGATAAAAAATCTGTTATATTTCGTCTTATGTTTTTTTTTCTTTTCGTACATCAATATTTCGGTGAATTACGTTCGTTCTCGAAACCTTTTATGCATCGATTCGTGTCATTACAAATGGGCTTTTGAAATTTTTATTGCATTCGCCGTCTTCATTGAGACAACGATTAGGCATACAGGTATGTACCATATGCTTCAGAACAATTTCCCTGACAAACTCATAATCTGGATTGTCAGGTGGGATTTGAGCCGAAATGTATCGGTCAATCTTTTCCGGTGTGTCAAGTTTATCCGCATCTATTAACCAAACAATAATATTATAGTAGATATTGAAAAATTGAAAAATTGATTGATTCATTAATAATTTCAGCTACTATCAGGTATTATGTAATAACTTAGCAATTTTTAAAATTAAATTAAAAAAATTCAAGTTTAAATGTTTTGAGATGATGATGATGATGAACAAACATGAACAAACAATGAAATGAAAATTATTCGAATTCAAATTCGATTTCGGATTCGGAATATAAAAGGATGAAACATCGTGCTATTTTCTGATTCATTTGACAATGTAAAAAGATTACAAGAAGATATAAATCGTTTTAAATATCCGGTTGCGGTGCATCTATATAATAATTGTGATTGACGAAAAATTTACTGGGAACGATGTACACGTAATGATTTCAACTACGGATAAATTATCATCTCCAAACTATCGATTCGAATCAAAATAAATTAACCATCTTAATTAAATTAATTCAACGAAAATTGGTGACTGACGATTTGAGGAAGAACACAAATTTCGGTTCTTGCAAACGACATCTTAATCATGATGGTCATGAACTCTTAAGCTCAAACAATGTAACCATTTTATTTATAATTCACAGATAAAAATACAATTTACCAGCCCACATAAAATGGAAGAAATTCAAGATTAATCCGGCGATATGTGAACCATCTGTGACAATGATCACCTTACCATATCGAAGTGATTTAATTTCGTCAAATGTATATTTTAAATCATATTTTAAGCCAAGAATTGTGGCTAAATTTTTAATTTCGTCATTTTCCATAATCTGACTATCCGATGCATCACGGACATTCAACATAGTACCACGCAATGAAAAAATCCCAAATTTATCAAGTCCAACACTGAATCCATCATTAACCAAGTTTTTGGCGGATACACCTTCTGTTATTATTAGCATACATTCAAGGGAATATATCGTATAAATAAGAATTAAGAATGATGAATGTTAGAATGTAATAATAATTTTCTATGTTTACATTGAAAATTACATTCATATGCGTATGGCAATCGCAAAAAACCTACCAGTAGTATGTCTGGCACGATGAACAACGTTTAAACAATGTCTGAACATTTACTTGAACATTATATTGTTGTTCAAAATTACAATCAATTTTATCCTAGTATTACATTACATTAAACAATAATATACAATGATGTTGATCATCGATTTCTTTTTTCATTGGTTTTGAAAACCAATATAAAAGTAATCACAAATCACAAATAACAGTAACAATTTTAATAAGATAAGAATAATAATTTATACTAGTAGACTAGTAGACTAGTAGACTAGTAGATCATACACTTGAATGTATAATTAATATCAAAGAACAATACATTGCAATTATTGCAATTGATTAATTAGCCAATCAAATAAAGAATGAGTCAAATAATAACACTTACCAACTACCAAACAAACGCCGCTTTTCTTCAAATCGCTCCTGAACATGATGATATGTTATGAGGTACAAGAGTCACTCCTAACGATGAAAACAAAAATGAAACAATTTCATTGTCGCAGGCATCACAGGCAATAATATCATAACAACATAACAAAACGAATTCTGCAATGATGAAAATGAATAGGAAAAGGAAAGAAAAAAACAACGCATTTATAATCAGACAAAAACACGTGCTTTCGTTTGATCAAACCATGAGTCATAAATGAATGAGTCATATATTCACTCTTACACATTCAATGTACGCACATCCTTTTCTCATCGAGAAACAACTCAGAAGATATTCATTCATAAAAAACGCATCATTCTTTCCACTAATGCCATCTATCGACCTTTCATCAAATTTCAGAAAATTGTTTTGTTTCAAATTTCTAGAGAAAATTGTTTTGGTACTGCTTTGCCAGCTTTTTACATCGAGAAACACATGCAAAAAATGAAAAATCTGAATCTGGCAATCACAACCGAATGAATATCCAATTTCTATTAATTCCGATTCTGATTATCTTTTCCATTCACAGGCATCCATTGGATTATCCAAATTCTTTGGCTTCATTTTATAATATCGAAAATTCGACCGTTTTATCAATTTGTGGCTTTTGATTTGAATTTGTATTTTTTTCTTTCATCTTATAATAATTTTTTAAATTTCCGAATTCATTCCGAAAATCAATAAAACAATCGTTTAATGAAACAATCAAAAAAAAAATCGGGATACTATCGGATAAGTCGTTCACCGATTTTTGTTATAACGTTTTGTTATGCTTCCAACATTGTTTGTTTGGCTGTACAAATTTTCTCTCATTTTTTCGTAACTATTTTCTATGCTTCTTCTTCACTTCTCAGTTTTAAGAGTGTGATCCATGTGCTCAATTTATTGTTCAAATGTTGAATCCAGAAGATATTTGTACCAGGTAAGAAAACAAACCAAACTTTTATTTTTAATAAAATATTCATTCATTTATTTCACACAGTGTTAAGAATCATACCGTCACCAAGTTTTTCGGATTGGTTTCGAAATTGGATTTAAAAGGATGAAAAACTCATCCAATCTAAATATGATCGTTTGTCCACACAAATTCGACAACATTTCCGTCAACAATACAAATACGAATATTGTGGCTATGCAGCCGGAAACAAGGATCGTCTTGATTTTCACATTGGCATACATTTACAATATTAACCCATTAACCTATTAATGGCCATGATCCTATATATAGGATATTTATTATTGAAGACAAATAATTTTAAAACTATTCATTCAATTTTTTTAAAATTAAAAGCATTTTATTTCACGTTTAATTAGCTTTGAAATGATATATAACTCATCTGTATTATCTTTATCTAAGTACAGTTAATTTAATCTTGATTGTCAAAAAGTCGGCTTTTCTGAATGACTGAATGGATTTAAGAATTCAAAGTGTTGTAAGATCATTTTATATTCCGAAAATGATAATAATTTATATTAGAAAAATGTAAAATGATCTTCAAATAACATTTTTAATTACGAGTTATCAAATCCAAATTAGAACTAATTACCGCAATGATGATTTCCCGGTGATCCTATATATAGGATCATGGGCATTCAAAGTACTGAAATATCAACTTCTGGTAATTATTGAAACCTATCTATTACATCTTAGTATCTCTTGTTTTCTATGTAGGGCTAGCATATTTTCCCAAACAAAAATCCGGACAATTCATTGATCAGTATTTCTCAACTATAGGATCACCATCTTTATTACTTACTAGTAGATATCGGTATCTATTTATTTATTCAATCATCAATTTGTATGAAAAAGACGGTACTGATTGACTGTATTTATTTATTAACATAGAAATAAAATATGCCATTTTCGTATGAATTACACAATTACATTATCTAATGCAGTTCAATTATAATTAATTCAGTGATATATCAAACAACAGGAACACAGAACACACAAACTTGGCAAAGCTAGTAATAATGAACTTGATTTTTTCCGTTTACAAACACTACAACAACAACAACAACAACAACAACAACAACAACAACATTAATATTATAAATAATAAATAATAATCCAATCCAATATCCAATTGTTACATTCAATTGATTGACTCGATTCATTATCATCTTTGTTAGGAAGAACGAACAAGAAAATTGTTGCTGTAAATCCTTTCCACTCACATGCAAGTGTATGGATAATCACTGCAATCGTTTATCACATCAGGTCAATGTGGATATTTTCAATCACAAAACATGGATTTTAATTTCATGTTCCTCGTGTTTAACAATGGGTCATTTCGGATCGATTTTTTCCGCCTAATTCGTCCAATTGTGAGGCTCAACTTTATTTTATTGCAAAAATGAAAAGACGACTGGCTCAAAAAGATAAAAACTAATGTTCAAAGATCCAGGTAGTCAACAATGGTTTATATTTTGGGATGTTCGCTCCATTCAAGGTCCACGAAGAAATTGTTTTTACAAAAACAAAAACAAAAACAAAATTAATCGCCAACGCAAACACGCACTTACACACACCTGGTGATCGATTTGTTTTAATGATTTTCAATTTTTTAATCCACACAAAAAAATGTTTTGCAATCAATCTAAATTGATTTTCAGACAAACAATTCAATTGAATGATTTGTTGTGAAAAACATTGAAAAAAGTCCAACTATTAAGTGAGTTTCCTATCATCCAGGATGATGAAACTTGATTGAAATTCAAATTATTTAATAAACGAAAAACAAATGACGTCTACTAATCATCAGTAGTGTGATAATGGCAACCATGGTTGAAAATTATTAAACAACTTTCTTTCAAATAGAATAGTAGTCTAGTGATTAACCGTAATGAAAGTACAAAGCATCAAGAGAATCCATAACATTTTGAAATTGTCAAAAATAAAGTCTAATGGATCATTTACTCAATCACCATGAATATATGAATATCAACATCAAACTAACAACCACAACAGCGATAATAATGATTATGATTATAATCATAACTAGCAGATAACCGAACAACACATTATAAAGTGAGTGACCACAAAAAAATTAAAAAATAAGGCTCATTTCAATATGACATTTGTTGTTTATTCGTGGTGATGATATTTCTTGATCTCAGTCTATTACGATGACGATGATGACGATGATAGATAAGACTAAGACAAAACAACAAAAAAAATTTAAAGTTTAGACAAGGCCACGAGAGCCCGTGGTTTGCATAATATTCGCATTGAATATTAAATGCATGTGGATGATGGCACATTTTTTCCATTCTCATACAAAGTTGAACACAAAAATTCTTACTTTCTTAATCTCATCCACATATACTGGAAAGCGCACGGTTCTCATCATCATTTAAAATGAAGAAAAAACGAAAACAATTTATCCAACATCATCATCATCATCATCATCATCATCATCATCATGATCAACAACATTACATGGAACGATTCATTGTTAATAATAATGCTTAATCTTTTAATTCGTCTTTTCTCCATGTGGATCATCATCATCATCATCATTTGTTTCCAAGGATGAATTTGTATGGATCAATAGCCCCTAGGGATGTGTGCGTGATAGTACGTGGCGATGTGGTAATAACATCCCTTTAGTTTCATAAAAAATGGATCCATAATGAAGAAAAAAAGAAAATCCCAACAAGACGCGCATACTTGGACACGAATTTTTAAAGAAGACCAACAACAATCTCACTCATTATCATACAGTATTTTTTTCACAGACCATCTCATTTTAGCTATTTAGATAACGTTTGGATTTATGTTGATGGTGATGATGATTTAATACATTACAATTTTATTTATTTTATTTTAGATTTTCTTTTTTTTTTTTTTTTTTTTTTTTTTTTTTTTTTCGTTTTTTGTTTTTTTGTTTTTGTTTTGTTTTTCATGATCATCTCTATCTCATCATAATTACGAGTTCATTATAATGAAACATAGTTTGCGCTATTATATCAATAGATAGAGACAAGACTCACATTAAGCAGATGGAATGTAATGAAAAAAGGTGAGATGTTTTGTGAAGAAAAAATTGATTACATTGGCTTCAATTTTTTATCGTTTATTGCTACTGATCCAACAACAACAACAACAACAACAAAATCAACAGTTGAAGGAGGATTGTCTAATCTTGAAAAAAGTTGTGTCATGTTTTGTTTTCTACATTTTCTATATTACTGCAATTAGATCCATGTCTGGAATTTTTTAGTATATAAACCAAGACGAGTCCGTGCATTTAATTCATACACATTCCTCATCTTCTTCTTTCAACAACAACAACCACAACAACAACAATCATCTTCTTCTACTTATCTAGTTGTCATTTTACAACAAATTCATCACTAATAATCAAAATGCTTCGAGTAAGAATTCGAACCGAACCTGGTCAAACAAAAACTTATCGAAAATTTTCTTTCTTCTCCTTAGTTCATCGTTGTTGCTTCATTGATCGCTTGCGTGAGTGCAGGTGGTTATGGTGGTGGTTCATCAGGCGGATATTCTAGTGGTGGCTCACGTGGCGGAGGTTATGGAGGTGGCCGTGGATTTGGTGGTGGAATGAGTTTCGGTGGTGGTGGTGGTGGCGGCGGTGGCGGACAAACCGTTCAAGCTGCCGTTGTTTCTAACCATCGTGTAGAATTCAGGTATGCAATACCGATAAATTATATGTAGTGTAGTAATGATCTCAACACTTGTTTGTATTATTTTTCTATTCACAGAGATGTGCCTTCTTCAGGCGGCGCCTCTCCAACAACCATAGAAGTCGGTGCCAACGCTGTCCCAGTCAACCTTCTTTTCCGAAGTGCCTCAAGCAACCTCAACATCCAACAAGCTCACGATGGTATGTGATATATACAAATTAATCATCACAAATCTAACCAAATCAATTCCAACAGGTGCTGGCGGCAGTGTCCAAGAATCGCAATCCGAAGACGAACCACACATTCTTAAACACAGCGTTACCAAACCAATCATTCAAGAGGTCAGTGATTATCCAATAATTAGTTAACTTGTAATTACTGAAAAATTACGGATGCATAGGTAAACGAAATCATCACTCCACAACGAAGAATACGACAAGAAATCCTCCCGGTCCAAGAAGAAATCCTCACAGTTGTTTCGAAAGGTAAATTTTTAGCTCATTCCCAATTTAACTGACAATAATTCCCGAATTTTGGCCACACAGATGCTGGTGGCCGCGGAGCTGGTGGTTTTGGATCTGGTTCTGGTTTTGGTGGCAGTCGAGGTTCTGGTTTCTCTGGAGGACGTAGTTCAGGCTTTGGCGGTGGCAGAGGTGGTGGTGGTTATGGTGGTGGCTCATCAAAAGGCGGATACTAGATGACATGCCAACGATGAACAATGACTATGTTGGATATGAAATTTTCATTTCAGAATCATCATTTTTCATTTTATTTATTTATTTAATTCATATTTAAATTTACATTTAAATTATTCAAATTCATCCAACACCAACAATCAATTTTGTTGAGAATATCAACATACACCAAACAAAACACACACACACCATCATTATCATTATGAATGGTCGAAATAAATTCAATTGATTTTCTAAATACACAATTGATTGATTCGTTTATGATTGTTGAACATGTGATAAAAATTCAAATTGAATGCACATGGCACCATCTATGAATGACAATGATAGGAAAATGAGCACACCTGTTGCTGCTGATCTATATAAATCATTATATCACTAATTTGTTCGATAAATATACAAACATCCATCCATCGTCATACGAATATGAGACTTGAATGTCGAATCGGTCCATCAGCACCGACAACTTTTTTCTCATTCTCATCAATGCAAGGTAATTATAATTAAATGTTTTGTCACTTTTTTTCTCAACTCGAAAACCAATCAACTGCAATATTTATATATTGTCAAATGTCGCATGTGAGCATATTTTTCCTTCATTCAGAGTATGTGTTCCAGAAACATGTTGATTTTAATTTATTTTAAATTTTGGATTTTGGATTACTACATGTTGTTCCAGCTGATTCATTTCGGAGTCATCTGAGATTAAGATCTCAATATGGACATGGATAACGATTATAACGATTTGAGATTTTTATTTTTTATTTTTCATTTTTTATTGTTGCTAAATTTTCGTTTTTCAATCATGTCCGAGTAAAAATCATTTTATAAATCATTTTTGTTTCTCTCCGTTGCCATCCGATGAAGATGAAGATGATGATGATATGTTTTTCTTTCTTTCTCTGTGATAATAATCAAGTGACTACAGAAAAACCATTTTTATGGACAACAAAGCGAAAAACTAGTTTTTTTTTGTCCATCCAGATACCATCGGCAATCGACATTCGTGATTCCGGAATATGTTTGTTTTTTCGCAAACTTGTCCGGAACCGACATTCGTGGCTATATTTCCAATTTGAACAAGTCACGCAAACAACAAATGTATCAATACGATGATAATGAATAATAATGATGAAGCACCAGAAATAGATTCTCAACATCAACACGAGGATAATGCTCTAGTTTGCTTTTTCATTCATTCATTCATTCAGTTATTCAGTTATTCAACCAAAACAAAATCCAATCCTAATCTGATAGCTGTCATCAGTTTGTAAAATAAACGGTCACAATCATCATAATCATTTCATTTGAATCCCATGTGCCTCTCTCACGCTGTCGGATATTGATTTGAATAAGGCGTCGTAATGCGAAATACTATGCCTTTTGGTACCATAGTATCATCATCATGATAATACCACACACACACACACACACACATGAACCATAATGACTTTTTTCATTATACGAAAACATTTTTGGAACTTACACTGGCTAAACTTGAGATACGCTAACGTTGTCCGTGATGTTGGAGTTTTCAAGTTTTTTTCGTTTTCGTTTTCGTTTCGTTTTCGTTTCGTTTGCGTAAACAAAATTGTGTCAAGAAAAGAAACAATTTTGTTTCGGTCGCCGTTATTTTTTTCAATCTGAAATAGAAAAATTTTCTTTACGCTATCGGTCGCCATTTATAAAATCGGTATTCACTGATGATGGTGATGATGTCACCTGTTTGTATGATGGTCGTCGATATGATCTTTGATCTCAACTATACAATCCAATCTCTTTGCAAATGTTGAGTTGTGGCTATACACATGACCACAGAGTATATAAATATAAAGGAAACCGAAAATCTGCAGAAATCTGGAGCCATCATTTCGTTGTCGATCGTTACTTGATTGAAACTAAAGTTTTGTGGTTCATTCATTGATCGGTTGATTGTTTGTTTGTTTGTTTCCTTGGAAAATTTTCAAAATGATTTTCATTCATAATAAAATGAACATGGCGTTTTTACTGATCATTTCTGTGTTCATCATTCGGCAATGTGTAGCTGAGGAAAATCTAGGTCCTCATCCTCATCAGATTCCAGCAGCAATCGATTCTTATCATCAGGTCCGTTATATTCAAGTTCCACCGAATAAACATGCAAAAGAGCCACAGATATACACGGTTACAACGAATTCATTACCAATGAAATTATTGTTTCGTAGCACTTCAAGTCGATTACAGATTGATCAACATGATGATCACATACCCGGTACGATTAGGCCAATGATGTCGCAGAATCATTTGCGTTATAGTGCTCCACCACCACCACCACCATCACCACCACAGTCATCACAAATACAGCAATTACCTTTGAACATGATTATATCGCCCACTATCATTCCAACAACATTGTTACCATCTGATCCACAGCAATTGATTCCATTATTACCTGCCGGGCAATTGGTTCAATCACAACTGCCACAACAATTTCTAATGCCATTGAATATCTATCCACTGATGATGCCGATCCACAATGGTGGTAATAGCAATTATGCAAATTCTTTGCCAAACGCCAATCGACCTTCAACTCTCAATCATTTATCCGGTTTTCTTCTACCAATCAATCATCGGTCCACCAATTTGTTCGGTGGTGCCGTTTGGAATCCAATTGGTTGATCTGTATGATGACGACGAAACGAATTTCTCTTTGTCCATTTGATTGGTTGATTTTCATTTGTTGTACATTATAACCACACATATTATTTACAATAAATATGCATGTTTTTTCCTCTTCAAACAGTGTGTAATTCATGATTGATTTATTCTTTCCACAACTTAAACAGATGATGAATAAACCAATTTTTTACATTCTCAATGTTTTTCTTGTAGATTCAAGTTTAAAAATAACTTTTCACACACACATATCTCCATACAAATATAGTGTTTTATATGAACAACAACAAAGACAATGGCAATAATGATCATGTCTTGTCTTATTATCCACAATTTGCAATTCAACATTCAACATTCTAATTAATTGATCTTGTTAACATTTCACAATAATCATTTTGTATGCATTTACAAAATGATTATGTCAATGATCTTTTGAAAGATGAATGATCAATATGTTACTAATACCAACAGTACTGTCGGTCAAACATGCATCATTCGCAACAACAACAACAACAACAAAAAAACGACATAAAAAATGTTCCAGAAACTTGTTCCATAATCAGCATGATCGTAAAATATCAAAGATAAACAAGAAAAATGATGATCGAAGATGGCCTTATATGGTTCATTTAATCACACATATTTCAGAGTTGATGATCGAAATCAGATAAAACACTCTGAGTAGTGTGGTTTTAAGATTTATATGCAACATCACAGCTAGGTCATCACCATTCATCCATTCATCATTGACACAGTGATCATTGAAATTCGTTCATATTTGCATATGAAACATTTTCTCAGAAAAAAAACAAGAAAAAAATTAATTATTATCACAATGGCATTAATTATTTGTGTGACACAACAAAGACAAAAAACTAAAACTAAACTATTTCATTTAAAGAAACACCATCATTATCACCACCTTCGGGTCCAGTAGATGTTTTGCTTTGGTTCGCAGTCATTCTAAATTATGCAGTGATGCTGGAGAAAAAAACAATTATGACGAGGAACCGAAATTCAATTTTTTTCAAATTCATTCCCACAATACACGTGTGTAGCAGTGATGGTTAAACTTTGCTCATCTCAATTTTCAATTTGGTGCAAATCTGACAATACAAACATGACGATTACAAGTGAATTTGATTAAAACGAAATAACGAACGAGATTAATCAATTGAACGTGATTGACATTTCTTCTGTTATTCAAATCAAAACATTAGCTGAGGCCATGGTTTCTCATGTTTCTCATGTTTCGCTCCAAGAAAATTTAATTTTTAATTTGTTTATCCACATGCATCACATCTTGATCATCTTTGTGTTTGATAATAACCATTTTTAAAAACTCAAGCAGTGTACTGTTATTCAATAACAACGAGACTCTTCGCACTTGGTCCTGGATCAGATTACTGTATAAAAGCTATCGATTCGAATCATGATCAGCACACAAAGTATTTATTTGTTATCGAGTTGCAAACCCATTTCAAACAAAATAAAAATGCTCAAAGTAACAAGTTTATTCATTCATAGTTGTTATTTTCATTTTTTTCAAACTTTTCTTCATTCTCCCCACAGTTATTCATCATTTCTGCTTTTGTTGCTGTTGTCTATGGTAGCTATGGTGTTGCAAAAACTAGCTCATCCCTTGGTTATAATCGTGCTGCCGGTCTTGGTGCCCGGCCACAAACTGTCGCCGCAGCCATTCAAACAAGACATGAGTTGAATTTTGTTCATGTTCCAACCACTCAAAATTTGAAACCGACCACCATTGAAATCGGTGCTAGCAAGTTGCCAATCACTATTCTTTTCCGATCATCAAGTAGTTCATTGAATGTTCAACAAGCTCATGATGGTATGTGAATCAATCAATCTTTCATGGAAATCTAATCAAATTTTTTTCTTTTTTTTATAATCCAGGTGCCACTGGTAGCACTCAAGAAACATCGAGTGAAGGTATGATTCATTGCGATTGATTGAATTAAATGATTATCATCATCATCATCCTATCATATTCATAGATGAACCTCATCGCTTGGTTCATACCGTTAAAAAGCCAATAATTCAAGAATTGTACGAAATCATAACTCCAATTCGAAAGGTAAGTTTAATATGCCTGGCTAAAAATTATAACGCTTAATATTGTACCTTGAACTTTCTAGATTTCGCAGCAAGTGAAACCTGTGCAGGAAGAAATATTGACCGTGGTGGCCCGCAACCAAGGTGCTAAATGTTGAGGCTAATTTATTGATTGATAAATTAATCCTGTCATTTTTTAACAAGGTGGACAAGCATCTAGTTTCAGCGGTCTGGCTAGTACCAGTGGTATTGCTTCACGTGGACGATCTGGTTATTAAAGTGGAAATCATTTGTTAATTACACAATAATCGAATCGAATGAACGAATATTTGTACATACTGCACATTGAAATCAAGTTTATTTATGAATTATTTGCCACAAAACAGTAAATAAACTAGTGACGTTTTTATCTAGAAATAGATCAACATCTAACATGTCATTTTGACTTGTCAAAATCAAGTGTGAATCAATGTTGAATGTTCAAACTCCAAATCAATTACGATTGACACTGATGAGAAAATAACAACGGAAAAAGTCCTAAATCAATTTCAATCGAAATTTGTTACATTCTACAAACGATATAAATCTGCCAATTGAATCTGAGATTGTCAAGATGGAATAATCAGCTGATAATAATTTATCCACAAAATATCTCATCATCTAATTCATCTTGGCAAAAACAATAAAAATAATACGATCCTAACCAACGAAATGAATTGTTTCGGTAACTTGTTTCAGCAAAGGCGTCAAATTTTTCCAACAAAAAAAACGTAACAGTACGACCATTCAATGTTCAACTTTGATGTTCAGACTTATCACATATGATCAAAAGTTTAGAAGAAAAGCTTTTCTTGTTTTGTTATTTTTGTTTCAAAATTTCTTTTGTTTTTTTAGGTTCATCAACAGGATCATGATTGAACGAAAATAGCTCAATCATTTTTTTCAACACGATTGTCCGAGAGAAGAAAGAAACTGGAAATTTTTTCTCCTTGCACAATACTAATCATATTCGGTTCACAATAATTAAATTAAATTGAAATGCTAGAGAATATTGAAAGGAAAAAAATGATAAACTAATAAATGATGGTGGCCATTGGCCATACAAAGTTTTAAGTCTCATCCTTGTCTTTCCATGTTGATTATCGTCATTGCAATCATTTGTCATAAAATTCTGATTGGCTCTCTGAAAACACTCTCTAATGATTAAGATTTGTTCATTTTTGTAACATAAAAATCAAAAGCCAAACACAAGTTGACCCATTCAGTGATGAGCAATTGATCAAAAAAAAAAAAAAATAAAAATAAATCTCGATTTGATGGCCTATGATGTGTTTTTCTTTGAAATTTATAAAATAAATTCAATTCAACTCCATTAATTATTTTTACAGGGTGGAAAAGTCCAGACAACTTGAATGATTGAAATGTATACGTATCAAGATTAGATTCAAATGGATGAAAACAAAAAGAAAAGAAATCAGCCAATGCAATTCTTTGCATAAAGTCAGAGAGTCTGTTTTTATGGATGACAAATCAAACGACATACTGCAGTATGCACTCTTGTTCTCTTTCCATCTGGAGAGATGATTTAATTTTTTTAACAGAAAAAAAACAATAAATCGATTTATCGTTGAGCATGAGTGTGTTCCAGCATAATTCTATAGAATACGACATTCGTGTCGGTTCGATGATAAAAGCTCATTGTCATTGTCCATTCATTAATTCATCATTGTTGTCCAATGATGGCAATGATTCCAATGATTTCATTCAAGATGATGATCATAATGATGATCATGTTCGGTCAAATCGGAATGATGGATCGGATTGGGAGAAATAGAGAGAGAGAGAAAGAAAGATTTTCCCAATTTTGGAACAAAATTACATTATTAACAATAACTCTTCAGACGTGAAAAACCTCAATCAAAAGTCAAACGACAAAGACGACGATGATGATGATGATGATGATGATAATGGTGGAACAACAAATCGAAATCGGATTTCTTCTGCTTTTGGATTCACGGACATTTTGATGATTTTCTTTTCCATTTCAAACATTCCTTATTGATACACAAAATGTTCCTGAACTGACACACATGGGTTATGTTTGAGACAATAACAATAAACAACCACAATAATGATGATGATGATGATGATGACAAAATGGACAAATGTTTTCTACGAATCTAACAATACAGGATGATGAAGATCATTATGATGATCTTTTCAGATTCATGCGATGGATCGGATTAACAACGTTATTGTTGCCAAGTCCTAGATATTTTTTGTTCAGTTTCATGGTAATTATATTTCGTGTTCATGCTATATGTTTTATAATTTTATAATATTGAGATTGTGGTGATGCTAAACGAAACAACATTGAATAACAAGGGCATTTTTTCCCTTACAACAACAGCAACAGTTGTCGAATCTAATAATTTTCATTATTAGATTCGATTGTTTTGTTCCATTTTTTTGCTTTTTGTTTCAACGAAAACATGACATAATGTTACACATTGAATCAAATTCCCAAGTGGTGGTTAATGTTTATGATTTCTTCGTTTTTCTCAGTTCTGTTTGTTCGTTTCATCTGATCAATCAAATGGAAAAGAAAGAAATGGATTAATTGGACCAACTGTAAATAGTGGATGTTCACGAGTGGCCTGCTGCTACTGATAATTGACTTTTAAACATTGATAGTAATAGTAATTCATTCGTCATTTCCAAATCGTAGACATTATATCATTTCTAGTGGAAAGGATTTAAATTGAAAAAAAAGTCAATCAGAAGCAATCATCATCATCATCTTTAATGACGAGATCATCACCACAGCCAGTTTTTCATCGATCAAAGCATCATTTTCCACTAATATCAAATAACTAGTAGTCGTTCAGAATGAATTTTTTAAAGTTCATAATTATAACTCATGTCAATTTTATTCATTTAAAATTCAGCAAAGACATTTTTATTTTCTCCCCACACTCGAATAAATACTAAAATGTTTTTGATGATGATGATGATGATGATAATGGCACATCTGCTGTCATCATCATTTGTCTGTCAGTGTCATTTACACACATGAATACGTGTGTGTTTTTCAAATGTCAATGATGTGAGTTTCGGGACAAACTTATAATTGCCAAAAAACTTTCACCCGGATATGATCGAAAAACGTGTCCAAGAGCGGAACTCGAATATGAACTCTACTAAATGTTTCCTCTTTTTATTCATCATCTGATATATAACAACATCATACATGTACACATAATAGTCGTAATTACAATAATGATAATTTTCAACTAATTTCTCGAAACAACAACAAAAAAAACTAAAATTAAAAATGCAAGAACAACAAGATTATGATCTTTTTCATCTCATCATAATGATGATGATGATGATGATGGGAATAATTTTTATTTGGGATGATCATTCGGAAGTTAATCATCATCATCAGCGAGAGGGAAAAACACGATTGGTCGAATGAATGGAATACAGCAGATACAATGCAATAGATCCACATCACCATCATCTACAAATGATCCATTTTCATAATTTAATCGCACTAAACTAATTCAACAACTACAACTGACTGACCAACGGATCGATTGATGATAGGATGGTGATGATAATGATGCAATAAATCAAGGCTCCAATGATGACTACAATAGATTGGATGTTAAACATGAGAAATCATGATTATCATTATCACCATTGTTTATATTTAAGATATGATCATGATGAATAATAATAAAACTTCAAATTTCAAATTGTTCCAGTTCATTAATGTGGTTAATGTTCGACTGTTGTGTTGTTGGTGACATAACTCAAACTCGAACATGATGTTATCAGACGGAATCAGACGGAAAACAAATCAAATTCAACAATAACGTTTGGTCCATAGCAACAAGAAAACGAGAAATGAGGAAAGAAAAAATGTAAATCAAGCCACAATGCCCGGATGAATCATCCAAATTCACCATGGGTGATTTTACAACAAAAGAAATTTTTTTAAATTTTTCTTCGCAAAAAGCACATGTCTAGCATATTTCAAATCTGAGTCTTTTCAATTCAAGAAGAAAATCAAATTGTTTATGTGCGATTAGCATTTTCTCATTGTTCTAACGTTATTTTTGTGTTTATGTGTGTGTGTGTGATATGAAATGAGTTTCACGCCAAGATGTGGATGAACATCAAGAGATATGATTATCTAACCCGTTAAGTGTGTGTGTGTGTGAGTGTGTCGGTAATATGTATGATGACCGAATCTGAAGAAAAAAATTGATTCAAAATTCAAAATAAGCTCATCATAAAATGGCAAAACAAAAGTGAAAGTGAAAGCATTATCCGAGATTATGAACAAAAATGAATCCCGTTATCTTTATTTCATTTTTTTTACCCTAAAACACATGTTATCATAACACACACACACCTTCTTATCGACAATAAGACACGACACATAAAGCATGACGTTTATCATGATGATGATGATGATGATCTGAAGATTTTCTTGTTGAATAAATTTCTTGTCTCTCTTTTGCCTTTCCACCAACATCTTTTTTCCTTTTTCCGATGTTTTTATTTTATTGATGATGATTATAATTTTCGTTTTTTCGCTGCGGTTATTGTTGATCAAATTAAACAACAACAACAAGTTGATTATATCCAATGTTTGATGGTGATTTGTCCGAATTTTACTCTTCTTTTCTGACATTGTTGTCGTAATCGTCATCGTCTCTTGCAATATATTCGACCCGAAATTTGTGCAAAGAATTGATTTAAGAGAAATTAAAAAGAGATTATCATTTCCCGACACACATGAGAGGAAGAAGAAGAAGAGACATATATCCCAATAAGCCCGAAAGGTTTTCGAAAAAAACATAGAGCAAAATTCAGATCATAGGCAAACACGTATTGAAATGAAATGAAAAAAGAAAAAAAACGTCCACACGACATGACATAGTGGTCATCAAACCATCTCGGCGAGATTCACTTTCTTGAATTTTCTCCAATATAAATACCGGTGTCATTCGTCAGTGAATAACCATCATTCGATCCAATCGTTTCATCAAGTCAACACTGTCTTTTTCAACTCAACATTCACTAAATCAAAATGAAGGTACAACATTTGTGTCGATACCATCAATATATCTCAAATGACATTTTTTCCTTTCCCATTCATTGCCATTCATAGTTCTTCATTGTGTTAATATCGGCTGTCCTCGCCAACGCCAGTTATGGTTCCAAAGGTTCTAGTGGTGGTGGTGGTGGTGGTTATGGTGGAGGTAGTTCTGCTGGTTATGCAAGTCTCGGCGGTTATGGCGGTGGACGTGGCGGAAATGCTGCTGCCTTTGCTGGAGGTATGAAACATTGAACATGACTGTTTTCGAATGTCAACGATCAAAATTGTCATTTCAGGTATAATTCCGGCTGCTATCCAAACATCTCATAATATTGAGTTTCGTGAGGTCCCATCTACTGGTTCCGTTCAACCAGCAGTTATCGAGGTAATTTTTTAGGCGAAAATCTAATCTAAATTTTGATAATAATGATATATTCATATTCGCAATCTAGGTGGGATCCCAATCACTCCCGGTCATGATTCTTTTCCGATCCAGCTCTTCAACGTTGAATGTACAACAAATGCATGACTCTGCACAAGGCAGTGTCCAAGAGTCGTCTAGCGAAGGCATGTTGATTGATAGTAGATATCAACTGTTCGATAATTTTTATTTTTATTTTTTTATCAGATGAACCTCACAGATTAATTCACCAGGTCACAAAACCAGTGATCCAAGAGGCAAGTAAACTGAACACTAATTATCAAATCACCTAATCATCAAAGTAATTTTATTGATTCATTTAGGTACATGAGGTAATCACGCCATTCCGAAAAATTACTCAGGAAATTAAACCTGTTGAGGAAGAAATTAACACGATAATTGCAAGAAATTCTGGTTTTGGAAGTGGAGCCGCTGCTTTTGGAAATTCTGGCGCTGGTTTCGGATTTTCTGCCGGTGGTGGTGGAGCTGGATTAGGTCTAGGTGCTATGGGAGGTGGCGGCTACAGTATTGGTGGTACCAAATCATCCGGTCTTAGCCTTGGTGGAAGCCTTAGTAAATCATCAAAAGCAAGCTATGCTGCAGCCGCATCATCTCAAGCTGTCATAACATCATCAAAACCATCACCATCATCTTCTGCCTCATCATCATCATCATCATCATTGTCATCAGCATCGCCATCATCATCATCGTCAATATCGGTGAAATCATCGTCTGGCTACTAAATATAGTGGGCAGAACTATTCATCAACATGGCCAATAAATAAATTGCTGATGAAAGAATCCATATCCACATCCATATATAATCTATATAAATCTCATTCATTTTAATTTAAACGAAAAAGTAAATAAATCATTTCAATACCAATTCGTAAATGGCCTCCATGATCTTATATAACCGATTATAATATAGTTCCTTTTCGTCAAACTCTTCATTCAATTGTCGTTCGATTTCATCGATAATCGATTGGCTAAATGAATGCAACTCATTGTTGGTGGCCAACATTTGTCGTTCATCTAGTTGTTGTTGTTGTTCGAATGTTTGTCGTCGACGATTACTGGCACCAAAACGGCCAAACATTCGAGTCAATTGTTCATTATCACTATTTTCATCATCCGAATCGATGACGTCAGTGACCATAACAACCAAGGGAGATGATTCCGGTCGGCCATTATTATTATTATATCGATGTCTAAGGTTACGGTTACGTCGATTTCGATTCCGATTTCGACGACGACGTCGCGGTTGTTGTTGTTCACCAGCAAAATTTTGTTTTAAAAAAAAATTTTGAACTTGAAGTATTTGACCAACTTGACATTTTTGTTTACAAACTGAATCGTGTTCTGAATTCATCGAATGCAGGTCTTTATAAACCATCTTTATCATCAACAACAACAACAATTGGTTAATCAAATCAAATCAAATCAAATTTATTTATTGATTATTATTAATAATAATCAATTCATAAATTCATAAACTCATACTCCAAATTGTAATAATAATTGTATACATTGTACATAATCACGACTTGATCGATAAACAAGCCATCATGTACTCCATTTTATTGACAAATGTTTTGCCGGGTAATCGTTGCCAATCGACAATTTTAAATTGCCCATTCAATTGTTGCCATTGTTGATTCGAAACAAGGTTACTTGGCAGAAATTCTTGTGGTGATGATGATAATTTCACTTTGATGCCGGAATGAGGACCACTTTTAACCGATACAGTTCGATCACCGTTCGGTGATATCAATACCAGTGATGATGCGGTGCCACATATTGGTTCTTGTTTGCCCACCCCAACAGATGCATTCAACGAAACAACTTTCCATCCCATTGCTTTCGCCAACGACTGTACGGCAATAACTAAATGATGAGAAACCAGATTCAATAAAAGATGACGAAGTTCTTGCGATTCGAATGATAGATTCAATACACGGCCATCTCGCATGATTGCTTTGACCGTTTTGGTATCAATATGAAGCATAACTGATGTTCTGCAACTACTAAAGCCTTCATAACCATATGAATAAAGATCCACACGTACTGATGTTTGATTCGGTGCGTTTAAATAATTCCAATTGGGTATAATCAATGGATCCTGTATTTCAATGGCCAATGAATCGATCAAACACATTGTTCGTAGCCGTAACATGGAATGTTGCGCCTGTTGAATAACCTGTTCTAGAATGGTTTCATTTTGCGAAATTTGTGCCAATGTTTTCTTATCGTATGCCGAGGACCGGCCACATATCGTGCTGAATTGATTGCCAGTGTAACCGATGTAGGTCGTGGTAATGGGAAATGCATATTTTTATAATGAATTTCATGCAACAATTGATAAAGCGTGTGTTCCAAAACGGTATTATTACTGGCACTATCATATTGTGTCGAACTATTGGGCGATTGATGACAAAGATTAATAGACAACTGTAACCCGGGGAATAATGGCGCCAGAATTTGATTTCCAGCCGCTATGGTTGGTATGGGCAACTTTAATAATACCGATTCATGTGCCAATCGTTTGAATAGTTCATTATTGAAAAGCATATTCTGAGCAATTTCCAATCGTGTCTGCCATGACGAGTCTGTGGATTGATTTTGTAGCTGTGGATGTGATACTCTCAATGGCTCGAATAATGTATTCGATTGAACATTTCCTTTGACAGTGCGTACAACATAAAAATTGCCACCCTCCAATGTTTTCGGTGCATTGACAATCAATGAACTAGGCTTCATTGATGTTTGGTTTTCATTACGAATCACTTCGAATGTTGCTGGTTGCGAAAAATTTGACCATGCACCACGATAGCTTAGGTCACCAATAATACTTTGTCCTTTTTTCGTAGTCGCCAATTTTGTCGCATAGTTCGTAGTTCGGTATGGAAATCTATCCGAGATCTGGAGGTGTGGTTGGCTTCATTCTGTAATCGATCCAATGCATTCGAAATCAGTTGAGCTGCCTGGGCTAGGGCTTTCTTTTTGGAAACCAAAACGGTAATGTGCTTTTCGTCGGTCATACGGCTCTGATCTTTGGCCACTGGTTCAATAACCAGATAATCAGGTTCTTTTGCCACTTTTATGACATCATACATCACAGAAATATTAGTCAATGCGTTCATTATTTTCGATTTTATCGATTCAAATTGTGGTGCTAATTGACAAAACGGTGGTCTTTGTGTAGGATTTATGAATGATGAAACATTCACTTGTACTTCGGGTATTTCGAAATCCTTGCTAATGTTATTATTCTGACCATTGTCTTGATTTGACAGTATCGTCGACAGTTTATCAAAATCAATTCGTTGAATAATTCTAGCAAAATTTTCGGACATATTCAATGGCTGTTTGTAGATTTCGGTGCCATCATTCAATATTTCTTGCACCATGTATTCATCGGTAACTTCCATCGAAACGGCCAACGATTGTTGGCCAGGATTGGTTGTAGAATTGGAATTCATTTTGTCAATTCCAGCTTAGTTTTTTCTATAACTATATTATAATAATAATAATAAACAAAAATTAAATTTCAATAACCAAAAATTGATGACAATGTCAACTTGCCCTGGTGTGAATTTGGAGAAAATTTTCGCATTGATGCAAACGATAGATGAAATCAAGACTTTAAGATAAACTGATGGATTCATTCAAAGTTTATGAAAAAAAGCTGAACAAAATAAACCGGGAATAATTGTTGGCTCAAAATTCCATTGAATTTTGCATTATGCTTGATGCATGCATGCTGAGTTCGGGGAGTTGTCAATAGATGACAGTACACATAATGGTTTGGACTTTGATCGAAATCGACACTACACTGTATTCACTTTTGATTCGAATTTTAAAAATTAAATTCTTCATCATCAAATTATTACACAGAACAGTGATAAGTTGAGATTCAGGATATTTAAACAAAAAATAAGATAATCTGATGGATGAAAAAGTTCTTCCTGAATAATAAAAAAAATTCTTCTTTATTCCAAGTTTTTTTCAGCAGCAGACAAATGGTCATGACTGATAATCCATAAGCCGGCCATTTTGGTCTCGACAATAAAAAATACCGGAAACAAAGATTAATAGATGGCGAAACACAAAAAAATGAAAAGCTAAAATGAAAGAAAAAGACAATTAAAGCTTAATCCAATTCGAGGAAGAGAACACCTTTATCATCAACGCCTACGACGACAACAACAACAACAATTACTGTTGTTGTTGATTCTTCGTTGAAACCGAAACCGTTGGATTCGTCGGATATAAAAAGCTGACAGTTTTTCAACTGAACATTCCTGCACAGCTGCAATTACCGAATGAAAGTGATTGTCATATTTTGCACCATGTTTCGAGTAAGTAGACATTCGAGGTGACCAAAGTGACAATCTGACATTTTTTTAAATTTCACCAACCAAAGATAATCATCTTATTTTGTTCATTGATTTCCATCATCATTCCCTTGGTATCGGCTGCCGATTATGGAACCAAAACTTACACAAAAGATTATTCATTACCAAAAAATGGTCAAACATCATCAACATCGGTGATCAACATATCACCATTATCCGGCCAACAGCAACAACAATCACAACCAAGCAACATTGGTGGACAAACGACAAATTATTATCAACAACAATCACAGCCATTACAACCAATACAACCAATATCACCAAGTTCGCTTCTGGCTGGTCCATTATATAAAATGCCTGCCACCACCTCAACATCAATATCAACATCAACATCGTCAGAATCAAATGTAATACAAGCAGCCGTACAAAGTAAACACGAAATACAATTTCGTGATTATCCAACAACTGGTAATATTGTGCCGACCATTGTGGAGGTTGGTGCCATTTCCGTGCCACTACACATTCTATTTAAATCGGCATCAAGTAGTTTGAAAATTCATCAGGCACATGAAGGATCCGAAGGTTCCATACAAGAGACCGAAAGTGAAGATGAACCTCATCGCTTGGTGCATAGACTTAAAAAGCCTATATACCAAGAGGTCCACGAATTAATCACGCCCTTCCGAAAGGTAAGTTTCAGCTATAAATTTGAAAATCTTAATATCTACTAGTTAAATATTAAAATTTTTAATCAACTAATCAACTAATCAATATTCAACATTGAACTTTCCAGATTTATCAGCAGGTGCAACCTGTGCAGGAAGAAATCATCACTGTCATCGCCAGAGGAAATGAACAGGAAAATTCAATCGAAACCGGAAATGAATCGCTGGAAAAAATGTATGAAAAAACTAAACAACCGATTGGTGTGACGACTAAACAAAGTTCATCATATGGAACAAGTATCAGCCCTAATAATAGTAATATCGGTGATACTGGAACAGGTGTGTCAATATCGAAACCACCACTCAAAGGTGGTTATTGATCGCAATCAATCGATTCAAATTCATTATTCAATGAATCAAAAGATCACAAAATTTACTCAATTTAATTATGATTTGATTATGATTAAGATATATGATATATAAATAATAAATATAAATAAAATAAATAAATAAGTTAATAATTAATAATTAATAATTATTATTATTATTATAACCAAATGTACAAATCATTTACAATTGTTGCTATACAGATTTTACATGGAAAAAATTAATCAGAAATTAGTTGAGTGAAATTTTCAAAAAACGATTCTCTTCGAAAAATGCATTCATGGTCGAATTCATATCGTTAACCATCATGTTTGATGATGATGACGATATTGAACGACATGACATGGCCGATGATGATTGTTGTGCACGTGATTGTGGTGGCTGGCCATACGATGGTTGTTGTACGGAATTATTGCTGTTATTATTATTATTATCAAGTTGAGATGACGGTGTTGTTATTTGTTGTGGATCAAATGAAATCGGAACGTTGTTGTTACCATTACTTGGAAAACAAGAATAATTGGTCATTGGAAAATTCGGGTTTTGGACCATTGAATAAGGAGGTGGTGATGGTTTTTTTTCTGGTCGATAACTGTTGTTGTTGTAATTCTGATTCCATTGATTAAATTGATTATTCATCGGTGGTGCATAATTATTATTCATTGTTTGTTGTTGTTGTTGTTGTTGCTGCTGCTGTGTGCTATTAACATTAAATTGTGGACGTTGCTGTTGATTTTGATAACCATAATATTGTTGTTGCTGGTGATATGACGTTGTACTATTTTGCATTCGTTGATTAGGATTCCATTGTCGTTGTTGAACATTTCCCATTGTATTATATGATGATGTAGACATTTGTTGTTGTTGTTGTTGTTGCAAATTAGCCATTCTTGTATATTGTTGTTGAGGAGCAGTGCCTGGTGGTTCATAAAATTATCAATTTTTCAGTTTAAAAATTAATTTTTCGGTCTTCAAAATCAACATACCTCGGAAATTTGTATTCCAATTATTCGAAATTGGTTGTTGCTGCTGTTGTTGACAAGGATAAGGGTGGATCGGTGATGTTAATGGTCCATTTTGATAAAAATTTTGTTGCATATTTACTAATTGCATATTGTTGTTGTTGTTGTTGTTGCTGTTATTAATCGATGGGCAATTAGATACGGCAGCATTTATCATTGTAGTCGACTGTGATTGACCATTATTACTACTAACTGATTTTGTTAATTGATTGGTAACCGAAGAATTGTTTGAGGACCAATTTGTCGATTGCTGCTGTGATAGAGGTTGTATTGCCCGAATGGATGATGAATTTGTTTCATCAACTTTGATTGTTGTTGTTGTTGGTGGTGGTGGTGGTGGTGGTGGTTGCGCATTTGATGGAATTGAAACTTCATTAGCAATGACCGTTGCAACCGATCTAGGTGATGACATCATTGAAACTGTACTGCCACCACCAGGTGACATGACGGACATTGGTGTTCCAGGTGACATTAATGTGATCAATTGCGGTCCAGTAACACTTGTTTCAGTGACCATTTCTTCTTTGATATTTTTAGTTTCAAGATATTGAACCTAGTGAATTTGGAAAATAGATCATTACACATTCAATTATGTTATACTGGCTAACTTACCATTTCATCAGGAAATATAATTGGTTCATCAGCTGTTGCATTTGAAGTGGCTAATGGTTGAGCGGCTGTAAAATTTTCATTTGGATTAATCGTATGAGAATTTGGTGGCGAAAACGGTGCAATCATGTTGGATGGTGTTGGCATAACAACAGAGGGCGTAATTGCTGCATATGGCTGATCGTGACTTAATGCCAATGATTGTGGTTGAATAACAAGGTTTTCCGTTTGTTTCAAATGTTTTGGTTCACTTTGTTGTTGTTGTTGTTGTTGTTGTGAACGACGGCTACACATTGATGTGGCCGTAGCGGCTGCAATTGAAGCAATCGAATTTAAACTTGCTTCCGATGAACGACGTGATGAACCATCGATCGAAATTGGATCATATGAATTACAACGATTAATTGTTTGTTCCGATTGTTGTTGTTGTGTTGTTGCTGTTGCCCCACCACCACCACCACCAGTTGATCCAGAATATCGCTGTTGTTGCTGTCCATATTGCTGTCGTTGTTGATTACTGTTGTTTGTTGAATATGAATTATTCGTATATTGCGAGTTTGAATTATCCGATCCCAATACTGAACTATAATATGAATTTGAATGCAAACTTGAACTAATGCTATCATTTCGTGATAATTTCGTTTTCGATGATGAGGACTTTGTCTGTTTCTGTGAATGATCATATCCATCATCATTATCATTACTACGACGATTCGATTTATTAAACATATTCGGAATCCATGTTGCCGCAGTTTTTAGACCGCTTTTTATGGCTTTAAAATTATTTTTAAATACATTCTTCGAACGTATCATCGATTGACCGTGATTGGCAATATTACGATTACCGTTCACGGAAACAATCATGCCGGATGGATCTTCAATTTCGAAATCCGAGTAATTTGTTGGCTGTTGAATAAAACCATCGCCACCATTTTCTTCATATAAATCATTGTTTGCTGGCACTATCCATTCCGTATCGAAGCCATTATTCTGACAGGTTGTAGTCGAAACGGCATTATCGCTAATCGGTGCATCCACATAAATACCCGGAGAATGAGTTGATAAACCTTGATAGCCTTGATTTTCATTCGAATCTTGAACATTTTGTGGAGACCCATAACCACCTGAAATGATGAAAAATAATTAAACTCGAAATAATTAAATGACAAAATAAGACTCATGCCTGAACCATTTGATGAATTACTGGATGGCGAAAAATTATCACCATTCGATGGTGATTTATATGGTGAACCATTCATCTGGCCAAAATAATCGGATTTATGATCCGACAACCGATGATTGGCCATCGATTCATTGATAAATCCCCCACCGCTACCATCATCATTGATTTCAGCATGAACAATGAACTTGTTGGTGCATTTCTTTTTGTTATTACTGCTGCTGCTTTTACCACTATTATTGTCGGCTGGATCACCGTTTGGATCGGTGACTAAATTAAGGCCTTTGTGTTTTTTAGTTGCATAGACTTCGGCGCCATGAACTGTTTTAACATGTTTTCTTAATGACGATGGATCAGTATATTTTTTCGAACAACCTGGTACACGACACGCATATGGTTTTTCATTTGAATGTGTACGATTCTGGTGTTTTGCACGATCCGAAGCGTTCGAAAAGGCTTTCTGACACGTAGGATATTCACATACATACGGCTTTTCTCCTGTATGTGAACGTAAGTGTGTTTTAAGATTTTCCAATCTCGAATATGCCTTTAAACATCCTGTGTGTTTGATGAGAGAATGAATGAATGAATGAATGAATGAGTTCAATTGGACAAATAAACAATCTATAATCTATAATCTATCCTTTATGCTTACCTTCAAATGTACATTTATGCGGCTTTTCACCCGTATGTCTGCGCATATGTACGACTAGCATGTATTGTGCTTTGAATGGTTTTTCTTCTCGAGAACAATCTTTCCAGCGACAAATGAAATTCTTCTTATTCGTATGGATATGATCGGCAATGATATGTTTGACCAAGTCATGTTGTGTGGAAAATTCCTTGATACAATCATTCCAATGACAATTTGTTTCAACAAAATCATCACCCGGTTCAATACTGTCATCAATCATTGATGATGAATTTGTCGTTATTGATGATTGTTTCAGATGTCCATTATTGATGATTTGATTATTATTTGATGAATGATGATGATGATGATGATGATGATGATGATGATGGCCAACATCGATATCTGATCGTTTAGACATTTTTACATTATTCATACCATGTTTATCATCACAATCACCAACAGTGGATGAGACAACATTTGAGGCAGTTTCACGATTTATTGTGGTCGATAATGATGATGATTGTATTGTGAGATCATTCGATTGTTTTGTTGTTGTTGCTGTTGCCGTTGCAGTTGTTGTTGTTGAATTTGTCATTGAATTCGTATTCGGTGGTGGTGGTGGTGGTGGTATTAACGGCGGTGTACATAATAATGTAGATGATGATTGATGTTGTTGTTGATTTGGATATTGTTGAACATGTAAATTAGATAAATGATGTGGAAATTGGTGTGGATTAAAATGGAATGGTGATGCTGAACCATTCAATAGATGATGTGCTGCTGATGGACTTGTCGAATGATGATGTAGTAATGGTGAACTACCAAGAATCGGTGACCGCATCAGATGATGTAGACTAGTTGGCAACATTCCAGTACTGGCCAATGTTGATATTCCGAATGCAGGACTTAAGGTACCTGTTGAATAAAGAATTCAAACAAGTTAATAAGACAAACACGCAAACAACAATGATAATAATTGATTGAAAATTGAAACATGCAAATCACTCAACAACAACTCGGAAAAATTTAGCAACAAAATCTTAAAATGATCATCATGATTATGATGATAACAATGAAAAATGATGACCAAACGACAAATAATGATCGTTTGGTGGCGCTATCTATCAATTGCGTGTGTTCTAACAACAGTGTTAGAAACATTTTAGTTATTATTATCGGAAAAATATTGGAAAATTTCTTTTTGGTTTTGTAATAATAAAGTGATAGAGTGATTATTAGTATAAGGATGCGTGATTTCGAAAATTGGATTATCCAACAACCTTGTCATTGCAAAAAATAATGGTAATCACCGTTTGTTAACCATCGCCTGTCAATCAGTGAATCATGATAATAAAACTCTACATTATTATCATCGTCATTTGGAATTTGAATTTCAGAGTGTCAACAGCAAAATTAACATGCTGCAGCCTTTGACCTTGTCATTGTTGTTGACCACAAAATTTCCATCCACCGTCAATGGGAATCATATACAACAAGGTAAAAAATCGAATGCAAATTTTTGAATCTGATATCTTGGATGGCATTCGAAAACTATCCTAAAATCTAGACATGATCATATCATCATTGTCATTATTGTTTTAAAGATATGGACAACATACGATTATATTTCACTTTTAGAATTTATTTTTCTTCTTGTTTTCACTCTATGTATTCTCATCATCGATGCTGTCATCAGCATCATCGTCTTTGAAATCAAGATCATTAAACTGATGCTGACTTGACTGTTGGGTGATTATGACAACAACCACGACAACCACGACAACATTTCAATTTCTCTTAATGCGACGGCCAACGACATTCAATATGATACAACATCCTCATCATCAGTGAAGAAACGAGAGAATTTCAAGCATCACAGCATGAATTTCTCTCGTTTCGACGAAAAAATTCATATATTCATTTTCAATTCTCCTATAAAAAAAATAGACCCACACACAGGTGATCTTAGATTGATATTGGACAGGTAAACAACAACAACAACGACGAAAACAAACATCAACGATCGATAAAGATACATCTAAACATCTAGACACGCCCGACGATATATGTTGTTGGTGATGGTGATCATGTTGTTGTTGTTGTTGTTGTTGTTTTTGTGGAAAAATTAATAATAAATTACGTGATTGTTTTACCTGCACTTAGATGCCCATATGAACCAGATGCAGCCGATGATGAACGAGATCCATTTACAAATGAAACCAAGGAATTCGGTGAGAAACGTATCATTGAATTAATATCAAACATTGTGTCATTATTGTATGAGGATGCACTTAAGGCTCGTTTACGATTAATATGAATTTGTTGTGATGTCGAACTTGGTGTACGAAATAGTGGTGTTGTTGTCGCTGTGGTGGTGGTCGTCGTCGTCGTCGTCATCGTCGTTGTTGTTGTGGCTGATTGTTGTTCAATTGATGAACTATTCGATAACGTTGTGGTTCCATTCGTTATCGATGGTTGACAATTTGTATTATTCATGGCAATTGGTGACTCACTCGTATTAGCAGCGGATGCGGATACAGCAGCAACAGCTGCAGCAACGGCAGCTGGATTATTTAGAAATGCTGCTGCAGCAGCAGCCGCCTGTACAGCTGTCGAATTATTTGCATTGACAATTCCGTTTTCGGCATTTACTCCGGATCCGGATGATGATGACGACGACGACGACGACGATGATGATGTAGATGATGGGGGTGTTTGACCAGAAAGCGCTGCCATTGATGCGGCCATGCGTTGATTTAATAAGCTCATTTGTTGCAGATAATCTGGATGTAATGTCGGTGACATTGCTAATTCTAATATAGACGAGAGAAAAAATGATAAAGAAAATTTCATTAAATTATAAACAAAGTAATCATGCTTGAAAATTGACTATTGATCTATAATTGAGCAAACTTTTGCCAAAATCAATCCATCAATCCATCAATGACATTGACATTGACATAATTTATGAATTTCGATAAACATTTTCTCTCCATTGAATGAATGAAACGATAAAATGACGGTGAACTTGCAATTATCAGTTAATTAATTTGCAAGAGATGACGTACATCAAACCAACCAACAAACAGATTTATAGACACCAAATGTCAGGTGTAATCTTGATCTTTATCACATCATCATCATCATCGAAATGAATATGTTTAGTATGTCTATGTCGCCATCGTTGTCGAATCATTAAACGATAATTCTTTCTGTTTAAACTGAAAACTGAACAAAGTGTGGCCAATCATAAAATCATCATTCGAAAGACTTTCAGTTTATAGTCGGTTTAGTTGTTATCTGGTTATCATATCGTCGCATTTTTTGTTCATTGAAACTTGTATATAAAATCATCACTGGTTTCTTGGCCAAATGACATTCAACTTGACCAGAAGATTTTGATTTTCAAACCATGAAAAATGCCAGTGTTTGCATTTTTTTTATCAATTTGCCAATATAATGATTATGACAACACAATAAAACAATTAGGAATTTCTTTCGAAAAATTTCCATTTTTGTAAATAAAAAAGAAAATGAGAAAAATCCAACTTGAATCACTATCTGATGTGACGAAACTAAATTTATGATTGAAAAAAGTACAAACTTGATTGAAAATTCTTGCGATAAAATGAACAAATTCGATAATAAATAATCGGTGAAAAGAGCATGATGTACATGCAAAGATATACCCTTACTTCTGAATAAAGTGGTCAATATCTTTGAAACGAAATCAAAAAATGTCAAGTCTTCTTGATTACATGACCAGCAAAGTGAAACAAACCATATCTTACATTAAATTATGCAACAAACACACCATGATCATAATGAGAGACACTACAAATTCTGTCCTTATCACATTGCAATATTCATGACGGTCATGTGGTCAAGCAACACTGGCTAGAATTATGATGGCTAATTTATGGCAACTGCTTTCAGATTTCAAAATCAACATTTCAATCACCATTTCATTTACATTTACATTCGGTTGTCATCATGTTCAACCAGCATCGGTGATGCTTGACGCTTCTTCAATGTTTTTTACGTTTGGTGGTATTCATAATCGAAAAACGCTTTTTCAATCAATGATGTGTGAATGTCTATAAACACAGACAACCAAACACACAGGACGTATCATCATCAACATTGAAATTATTGGGTTGTGTTCATGATCAAATGATCAAATGATCAAAGACCCAAGAACTAAACTGAAAGAAAACGAAACAGGAAATGATAATCATCATTCAATTTTCAAATTCAATTCTTGTACTTTACTTTGTATTTTCACCGACTAGATCAAAAAAAAAAAAAAACAGCAGCAGAGCAAGGTGAAAACAACAAACGACCCAATTCTTATCGATCGATTCATTGCACCAATTCAATTTCAAGTTATCGGGAAAAGAAAATTGAATTCCAATTCACTTTTTCAATTGCACACACACACACACAGGTGTAACAATCTTTGAAGAAAAGAAAAAAACTTTCATCTTTCAACTCATCAATGATTTTCAATTATCTTCAAAACGTTGGTGATGACCAATGGACTATCGCAAATTGTTTTTCAAAAACTTTAAATAAGACATGATAATGATGGACGACAGACGGACAAAAACAACTCCACCCGTGAATAACGAAATCAATCTTATCTATCTATCAACAACAACATATGGTGATGATACCTGTCAAAATATGATTATACACAGCTCATCACCATTCTCATGTCAAATATAAAGATGTTTGTATCTAGATTCAATAGATTTGATCGAATCATCATTGATATGGTTGACATTCTGGAATTCGTGCAACGATGATGATGATATGATAAAATTATTCAATCTAAAGAATTTTTCAATTAGACTCAAATACTTTTGTCTTGCAAACAATAGAGAGGAGAATAGAGGTGTGGTTTCAATAGAAACTTGACTTGAAACTAGGGCAACCAACATATTTTGAAAAAGGAAAAAAAACGTGCACATTCACACGACATGGAGATGAATATGGAAAATGGAAACAAAAAAAAAAAAACACTACCGCTCCTCAAATCCGGATTCATCATTCGTTAATTTTTTCTTCATTGATTTTGCCCACAAAAAACAAAAAGGTGGAGCCTTTCTTTGCTACATTGAAATTTCATTCGTGCAAGATTGTTATTTTGGTTTTTAATTAGCAAAACGAAAAACCTAGATCATCTTCGACAATGGGCAGGCATTTTGTTTCACTTGATTAATGAAAATCCATTGCCCGGGCGTTATCCGTTATTATGTTACTCGATATATCATGACGAAATTCAAACAAACAATGAAACTAACCTGGACTTGATAGGCCACGAAGTGAAAGGGCTGTTGGACTGGATGCGGCAGCGGCAGCGGCTGCAGCTGCTGCCGCTGCTGCAGCAGCAGCCGCCGCCGAATGCGAATTTGAATGATGATGATGATGATGATGTGCCGGATGCAGATGATGATTAAGATGATTATGAGGATGATGAAATGGTGATGGATAGAATCCATGATGATCATATGGTGACAAACGGCTTACAGCAGCAGCTGCCGATGCTGCTGCTGCTGCATACGCAACGGAAGCGGCAGCTGCTGCCGCCGTTGCCGGTGCTGGAGATGTTGGCGATGTAACACCATTCGTATGATGATGATGGTGATGGATAGGATGATGTGGTGCGGCCGATAATGAACTCCATAGATTATAACGTCCTTTTTGAATAGAAAAACATAAGAATTATGAAACAAAAGTTATCATCATTGCGTTGGATCGATAAATCACTAAGCACTGTGGATTATAGATTTCGTCATGCAAAATAAAAAATCTCTCAAAACATCTCTATCGAATTCTCGATTCAGTCTCAATTAATTACACACACTAACACAAACAGGTCTTCAAGACCGAAAAATTAATTAATCTGCAATGTAATGAAAATGATGCGATAATGAATTTAACAAGAACGACAACAACAAAAAGCAGAAAACCATGCTTCTTACCTTCGTGTGTACGTTGATCAATGGGAAGTACCAATGGAAAGGCCGTGGTAGTAGAAGCAGCAGCTGTTCCATTATTGAATGGTAAACCTAAGTGATGTAAATGAAAAAAAAAAATTTTAATAAATCCTCAAATGGCAATTTGCAAATATTGAAAAATCATTTTTTCTCATATAAATATCCAACCAGTACTAATGGGCATTTTCAAATAACAACAATAATAAAGACATCAAAATCACCATCATCCTGATGATTACCCGGTGAAGAGCGGCCAATCATGATGATGATGGCTTCAAGCCATATATGTTTATTAAAAAAATGTACACAAAGTTTGTTGCTGCCTAATTTTCATTTCATAAATCAAGCAAGAAAAAAATCTCCCAACTAATTTATTTATCTCGAATCAAGCAAACCGAACAACAACAACAACAACATATCACGAATGGTGATTCAAAAAGACCCTTCGAATTGAAGATGAAGAAATGACTTCGATAGACTTGATTTTTAACGAAAAAAAACCAAGATGTGGCCCATCACCATCCTCATCATTGGAGAATGATGAGGATAAGGTAGCTCGGGTAGGTTGTTGAGCTTGTTATATTTGGTCATCGACTTGATTGACCGCCACACCATTCACTATTCAGCATCGCCATGGCCATGACCATCATCATCATCATCATCATCATCATCATCAGTCAACCACCTGTTCGCCAAAGAAAAAACAAATTTTCGCTGTTTCTTCACCTTCTTCACCTTTTTCACCTCTCGCATTGATTCGATATGTTCGACTTTTCTCGTTTTTTTGCACGAACAAATTGTTCTTGTGATTCGAGAATATGAACTGAATTGGATTCAACCCAATCCATAATCATCATTGATGATGGATGGATACAACCAAAAACAGTGACTAAGAAAGAATACTCAGTCCTAAAGATAGTGAAAGCTGAATCCATGATGATGATGATGATGAAAAAGTCAAAAAGCCAGAAGCCATTTTTTTTTTCTCTCTGTTCTCTGTGTGGAAAACGATGGCCGCAGAAGAGAGAAAAAATTGATTCATTCGATATCCTCGAATATCGATAATCGTGTGTTAGAATCGTGTTTGTGTGTGAGAATGATGGCATATGAGGAAAAGAAAATTAAGACATTGTGTTTCGTGTCTATTCACCACCCGTGATCGATAGATTGATTCGAGAATGATGCTATAATCAATGCGAATGAAGCGTCACGAATATCATGATGCTAGTGTGTTTGCTAATTAAATTTTATCATTTTCTTTCCTTCACTGACAAATTGAAAAATGGAAATCCTATATTTATTCACTAAAGTTTCGAATTATTTCATATGTATGTCTTGCAATGATCACACCAAATCAACTAAGAATGGTTTTTATGTATGCAATCTTTTTTGGAAAAATGGGTGAAAGGAAAACTTACCAAAATGGGGTTCCATATTGAGAGTCAAAACAAATTCAAATGACGAAAATCAATCGATTCTTGTATGATTTGGTCGAATAGAAAAATTAATTGATGATGATTATGTAAATGATTTTTTTTCATAATCCATTATTAGCCAAAAAATCAATAAATTTTTGATAATCGCAAGATGTTATCCATCAAAAATTTCGCTGTGCTACCTGCAATGAGAAAAAAAAATTTTGATCAATTAGCTGATTGATTAATCAAGTAATAAAGTTGTCCATCACAATGTTGAATTGAACAAACAAACCAAACTGGTATCCAAAACATTTATGGAAATAAAAAAACAACAACACAAACATTTGATTTCATCTCCAAAACAGAAAAATATTACATCAAAACTCAAGGAAAAAGGTAGTAATGATCATCATCGAGTCAGGCACAGACAGCCAAAACAATTGTTTTTGATTGGTTGTCAGAATCGAATGATTTTATTTGATCGATGATTTTGTTCAAATCATTTTTTTCTATGATTTTTCTGCAAGAATAAAAGAACCTGTGGTGCCAGGTACACAGCAATAACAATAGACAACAAACAAACAAACAAACAAATTCCAAAAGTTTCGCGATACAATACTCAATCAATACACTACTACTGGCTACTGTTTATTACTTATGCACACGTGCATCAAACGAAAAGACAATGTGTTTCTTCCAAATCCACAATAATCCACAGTAATATCATTATGTATTATGTAATTAAACAATGGAAATTCTAAATTTCAAAGAAAGAATTCAATTAATTCAAAGTTATCACTATAGGATGGGACTATAGAATTCGATTGTCTGCGAATCGAAATGATGAATGAGATTCAATTGTATTCATTGAATTCATTGAATTTCTTTCTCTTCGTACAAGGTTCAACACAGAAAAAAAGGGACCGATCGAAAAATGAAAATAGCCCATGGCCGGTGATAATTTGCCATAATTCATTCAACCGCGAATACAAATTGGCCCTCCACAACCAAACAGAAGAATAGATTCATTCAGATTTCAAAAATGAAATCGGTTTGACTTTGTTTTCGTTGGTAGAAAGATGGATAGAATCACCATATCATCATCATGAATAATAAATAATGTTGTTAGACAAACATGCAAGTGAACAGTATGAACATTTCCAATTTGTTCGAAACTCAACATTCATTCAAATGGAATAAGAAATAAGAAAAAAAATAATAAATTCAAACCATCATCATCATCATCATTCTCAATCATTGTCAGTCTTTCACAATACAATGATTGTCACTGTTGTTACAAATTTCATTCTTATTCTTGCTTATTACAATCAAATCATTTTTCATCGGACAATTGGACAACAACAAAAAACAAACCAGAAAATCAAAACATCTTGTTTCACAAATCTTAAAACAGAAGCTGAAGCTAGCCAGATGACAATCGACACAAATCTTGAATAACACAATTACAAATTCTGATCACATACACATGCACAAACAAACAAAAAACGAATAAACAAACACACGATCACTTGTGAATCACTAAAGGTACCCGTGTATAGGTCAAATAAAAAAAATTCCAACTGCAAATCATCATTGGTGAAGCCGATGAAAAGTTTCCAAGGTTCATAACGTGTGTTTTGTGTGCGTGCCAAACATCAGCGTCGAAAAATTATGTTAATTCCGAATGATGATGATGGTGATTACAATGAATAATAAAAAACAAATCAACAACAACGATGATGGTCGTAACAACAACAAATACAGATTGTTCAAGTCCAGATGAAATCATTCAATCATTTTTTTAGTGAATCAAATAAACTGGAATCTCGAGAAATCGATAATCACAAATAAATTGAAATGGCCAAAATAATATAACCAACTGGAATAAATAAATACCATTCTAGGCAAGATTGATGGAGAAAAGTATCACTTTTTTCTAAAAAAGTATTTATTCAAAGATAACAAAATGAGAAAAGTTATATCACACACACAGGTAATGCTTGTTTTTTCCTTGTTCATCATCATATCATAATCTTATTCAGAGTCACGAAATCTTTGTTGTTGTTGTTGTTGTTGTTGTTGTTGTTGTTGCTTTTTTCGCATCAATTCTTCACAACGATGAGATGATGTGTGCAATGTATTAGATATAATGTAATAATTTATTCAAAACAACAACATGTCATACAAGTGAAGAAAAAATCGTTAACAACAACAAAAGCTTTAAACAAACAAAGCAAACAATTCAATGAATATCATCATTATCCAGATAAAGAATGAAAATGAATGGAAAATGAAGCCCAAAATAAAAATTTTGACCAAAAAACAACAAATGATTTATTGCGTTTTATTAGCATTTTTTCGTTTTGTTTGTTTGTTTGTTTGTTTATATGTTTGATTTTCAATAAAAAACCGGTAAATTGAAATTTGAAAAAGAAGAAAAACATTGCAATGATAACTTTATCGAAACACTATATATAGATTGACCAAGATTCAATTGAATTCAAGAAGAAAGAAGAATTGCATAATGAGAAAGGGCAATATATAGCACCCAATTCGCATATAGCGCCTTGTATGTATGTGTGTGCAATATGTGTATCTTTTTTGAAAGTATTTATGTGTGTGTGTGTGTGTGTGTGCGCACTACATATATAGTGTAAATGATGATGAATGATGAATTTATGTTCAATGTGTTTGGTTAGCTATATACATCGTGTATTATACTAATACACACACACGCAGTACCTCAGTACTGTTTCTATTTTTTAACTATGAAATGATAAGAATGGGCGTATAGTTTTGTGTTTTTTCTCTTTCACATGTACATACACACTGGTGACGCCCGACACAACATTTGATATTTGGAAGAAAAAAATTCTTTCAAATCAATCGGAATTTGTTGTGTGAAAATTTTAAAATTATTATTATCATCAGTATATCAGCATTAGCCACAAAAAACGAAAAAATGTTAACGATGACATAAATTATGAATACAAAACACAAAAGCAAAACAACGAAAGGTCAGTTGAAGGGTTATATGAATCTATTTTTCTTTCGTTCTTCATTCGTTCGCATACTGAAACGTTGCCGCCATCAGTGATAATTTTCACAAAACAGTTTGAACACCATGTGCATGTGAGTTTTACGGCGGCGAAAAACTAATCGTCACTACCAATTTTTTCGAGTTAAATTTTGGATATCAGCATCATTTGGGTGTTGTGTGTTTGTGAATGATAATTACTGGAGAAAACTATCAGTTCTTTGCAAACCATAAACTCAAATGATGATGACCGAACCAACAAAATCAAAGTACAAAAGTACAAAGAATGAAATTCATATGGTTCAACTTTTTTTTTGTTTGCAGCATCATTATCATTGTCGGTCATGTGATCACAATCAAAGAAAGAAAGATCTTTGAACACTTAAAATTGCCTCAAACATTAAACAACCAAAAGGGTTTCGAAACGAAGCGAAAAACGAAAAAAATTGTTTATGGAAACCTTTTCTACATGGCCAGACATTTTGAAAAAAAACTGAACCAGAATAGAAACTAGTGTGTTAGTGTTAGTGTTAGTGTGTGTGCTGTTTTATATTTTCGACAATTTTTACAGATGTGTGCTAGTCACACAAACTCAATCGACAAATGTGAAAGAAAAATCATTTGGTTTCTTGGCTTTGTCTGTGTGCGTGAGATTTTGCCGTTTGAAAAGACAAAAGAAAAAGTTGAATCGATAACAACAACAATATCGCCATAATATATGAATAATAATGAGATATAGATAGATTTTAGTATATCGGCAATCGATGTAATGACCGAACCGTTTGATTTGATCCGAAGAAGGTGGCGAAGAATCTCCAACAATCTATGTGATTTTAACCAGAGAGGAAGAAAAAACAGAAACTCTCAATGGATCAACCACCAGCAAAAGAACGAGTACACCGATTGAAGAAAAATATTCGAATGAAACAACAACAACTATATTAATTAATATACAAAAGCAATATTCAACTGATGAATTACTGAACTGTTACTATATAATTGATTGGAACAATCCAAATCCAAATTTATGACAACAATTTACCAAGAAATCATATAAAATAGTGTAAAATGTTGCACAATCAATTCATCTATTTCTTACATCGAAAAATTCGAATTCATACAATTCATTCATATATAATAAAAAACTATTGAATCAATCTCAATGGATCAAAAAACAGTCACTGCCACCACCAACACTACAACAACCACAATGGCTGACATCACTAACAACAACAGCGATAATGAAATGCTTATTATTAATGATCCTTCGGAATATGCTGAGACATCTAGTCAATTTGATGAACGAATCGGAACTGAAAGTGAAATATCACGTGAATTTCGTTGGCTTGATTATTATACGAATGATACGCATTATAATGATGTAGAATGGCGATCCAGCCCACGTTGTACACCCTGTTGTAATGCTAATGAATTTGACATCGCAGTGGCCTTTCCGGAATATGTTGATGTAACACAAACTACTCTTGATTTAAGTGAAACAATAATTCCGCATGTTCCTCAAGCAAGTTCAGTTATGGCTACCGGTGGGACTGATCATGAAGTGGATAACAATGATATGAACAATAATGATGATCGATTTGAAAATCCTGATTTTAATTTCAATTATCAACAGAATCAGCTTGATTTTAGTGATGACTATGATGTTTATGTTCCGTTAGCACCACCCCCATCACCATCATCAAACGATTTTATTTTCGTATGTGATCTCTCTGAACAATCCACCGATTATGATGGAGACAACGATGAAGGTTCAGAGCAAATGCTAACTAATGGCCGAAAACGTAATCGTCGCCGTCGATTGCGACCACTTAACATCAATAGAAATGAACAAAGAAAATGGTGGCATATTGAAAGTCTAACTGAAAAATGTGGTATTATCGTTGCTGTCTGGATATTCGTTATCTGGATTGTTATCATGGTACTACTGTCAATTATTGAAAAAACACGCAATCCAAATTCATCAGATGATCCACATAATGGCAATGATTCTAATTCTAATCATTAAACAAAAGTAATGAGAAAAGTACTGGCGTGTGTTGTTTGTCTTGTTTTTAAAACTTTTAACCTATCTATATCTATTTTTTCTATTAAAATTCTTTAATTTTTCCATATAACAAAATATGGCTTGGTAAAGATTTGAAACAATAAATCATTCTATTCTAATTCTACTATAGTTAACTGATTTATTTCTTGAATGAATCAATTTGACAGATGACAAAAAGGCTTCAGATGAAAATGATTGTCGATTATCATTATTATCATTATTGCTGTTGTTTGTTGTTTTCTTGACTAAAATATATCATGATCATTGTGTTGGAAAAAGTTCCAACTGAAAACAAGAATATTTCAAGTCCTACCAGGAGAGAGAAAGCCGATTTTGAATAATCAACAACCACATAAGATATCTCGACGGGCGACCTTACCGACCAGGCAGTGTGTGTGACCCCCGATCCAGGTTTTTGAAGAGAGAAGAAACTTTCATGAAAATCAGAAAAAGTGCAGAAAAAAATCTGACCATTATTATTATTATCAACGTCTGATTTTCATTTTGAAATTTATATTCGCAACACAGTATGTGGTAACAACAGCATATCTGATGATGATGGTTCTTCTGAATCTCCATATTCTATATCTAGAGACTCGTCGAGTTTTAACATTTTTCAATGAGAAAACTTGTTAATTTTTACCAGAATTATCACTTATTCATTGCATAATCATTTTTAAAGTCAACTTTCAACATTCTTGTTGTTGCTTTAGTGATGATGACGATGATGATGATGATGTCAACAACTTAATTGCCTACATCATCATTATATTCGGGTGAATTCTATCTAATCTAACATAGATTATGATATAAAAAACAGCTCAACAGTCGACAATTTCAATGATTTATTATTATCAAATGTTGCTATGTGATAATGGTTAACACTATTCTTACTATCTATATGTGTGTGTATGTGTGTGTTCATCATGATCATCATAATGATCATCGGTCATATGTCATTTTGGTCGACAAAATTTCACGCGCGACCATGTTCTCACCGCCATCATTATTTGATCTATGGTTGAACAACACTTTTCCTGGTTGTTGTGCATATATTATGTACAACAAAGTGACTCAATTAATCCTTGAAAACGCGGCAGCAGTAAAAACACTGAAGAATTACTTTGAATGGCTGAACGAACGGAAGCTGTTTGAATAATGATTGTGTGTATGTGTTGGATCAAACTTGACTTTATCGTGAATAATGATGATGATGATGATGATGTGAATTTCCATTTGAATATGTGGTGTACATAACACAAATATGTTATGTATGACACGATATGAATGAACTGATCCATTGAACAAAATCCATCAGACAAAAGAAGTTTATGTCTTTATTTTCTTTGCTTTGTAGCGACAATACAACTATAGTCTGGTTCATAACAACAACAACAACAACAAAACCTAATTATATTAATGGACGTTTATGTATCAAGGCAAGCAGAAGGACCCAACAACCAACAAGGACCATTATTATCCAACAAACACAACACACACACACACACAGCATATTGTGTATGTGTGCGACATGAACATTTCTCATTGTAATAACATGGAAAATTTATGTGGTTTTCTAGTCTACATTTTTAAATCCGGATTATGAAATCAACAATGGCTATAATCGGTCTACTGAGTGAGTGTGTGTCGATCTGATCGACATTTTGATCGTTATAAAAGAAGCTTATCTTTCATTTAGTCAATTTTTATTCAGTTGGGAGGCTTTTCATATACAAAGTGGGAGTGATAATGGTTTCTGAAACTCAGTGTGAATGTTTCAGGTTTTTCGTTTCAGCTGTAACCAAATTCATTCTGAATTCTGAAGGATCATGAAAGACATTCGATTATAAAACACGGTGATCATTATTCAATTGTGAAACGTGTGTGTCTGTGTGTCTTGCCGTAGGTTTGTTTTTTTGACAGATGACATTCACTAAACCTTTGGTTTCAAATTACCCATCGATTACATCGGTTTTTGGTGGTGGTTTCGCACAAGTCTAATTTTTATTAATTTTTATTCAGCGAATGGGTTAACGATACAATACATAACAATGCAAAAAATCGACAATAACACAATAGAAACAACCCAAAGAACCATTCATAAACATCAGTACAGCGTTATCTGAATTTATTATAATGACCCAAAGCAATAACAACAACAACAACAACAACGAAAACTACATGATGGAATCAAATTACTAGAACTAAAAGCCGCAAACAAACACATGTGACATGTGTGTGAATGATGAATTCATTTTCATTCATGAATCCTGAATATGGTAGTAAGTTTTGGACATTCAATTTTCCTAGAACTGAAAATCGGAAAACAAAACCAAACGAAAACACTCGAGAAGTATAACAGGAAACAAGACAAAAAAAGTACCGTTTAACAAACACGGATTATGATCAACAAATGTTTTCGCGTTGAATTAATACACTGGATTACATCATAATATTCTTCATCAACAAACAATAAGTCTAGACAAGAACTTTGCTTTTCATTCCTATCATTAGTCTATCATCATCAAGTTTGTGGCAAAAAAGATGAAATATTAGATTACATTTGCAAATAATAATAATGTAATAATATAATCTTGATCAAGTGAATTGAATTTGTTGTTATTCTATGGGAGAAACAGAGGCGTTTTACTCATTGATACAAACACACACACACACAACACACACACGTTTATCAACATTAGCGTGTTTTATCAACTGTGAAAATTCTCTGGAAGTTTTTCTTGATTTTTATTTATTCATTTGTCTTTCATCAGAATATATCCATGATGTGCATATATAAAATTAATGAATGAACACTAGTCATTCATTCATTCATTCATTCATTCATCATGATGATGATGAAAAACTAAACCATGAAGATGATTCCAATTGATGGAATTTCGACTTTTACATGTTTATTCAATGGAAGAATCTAGTCACACACACATGAAGATTCAAAGAATAAATCATTGCTGCTCAAATTCAATTCAATGAATGAACATTTGACGATGATGATGACCAGAATTCTGCGAAAAATAGAATGTGAAATGAAACATTTTACACATTCAGGCCTGCTTTCAACAACAATTACAACGCAACTAGAACCGAAATAGAATTGGATTTGATTGTTTGGCTGTTTGTTAAAATGTTACGAATTGTAAATGATATGATATTTTTATATTTACAAAATTTTGTGGTAATATAAACTTGATGATCGAGGGCGCCATATTGCGTATGTGCGTATTTGTGCGGCAAGTTTTTTTCATTTGATAAAATAAACATCCACACATTACATAAATACTCCACATGGATAATGTTGTTTTATTGCTATTAATTAATGATGATCATAATGATTTTAACTTGTAGAAAATGTAAAGTTAAAAACGAGGTCATTTGGAAAACTGACCAAAATTTGTATTTGAATGCAAATTTTTGGTGGTTACAAAAACACTAAACATACATGTAATGTAATTATACCTCATGTTTTATCTCGTTTACTGGTTTCCCTGGAAAATACAAAGTGAAAAAACATGTGTCATCATCATCATCGTTTCAGCATGACCACTCTATACGTTAATGATGATGATCTCGATGACACGTGGCAATCACGTCATTGACCAGCAAAAAACCGAAAAAATCATCACAACGTGTGTGTAATAATAATCGTTTCACAGACACAGAGAAAGAGAGAGAGAAAGAGAGTGAAAACGAAAAAACGATAAATCTAATCATCAACCGAAAAAACAACAAACATCTGTGTGTGAATTATGACAACCAAAAAAGCCGAAAGACTAAACAAAAACAAAACAAAACAAAACAAAAAACATGATAATGATGAAGATGATGATTTGGATTTGTTCATGTTTTCTCGTTTTGTGGTAAACATTAGATCGAATCGGATGGGCACAGCCACAAATGACCAAGTAATCATTGGCCGGCGAAATAATCGAGTTAATGATAGAAAAACAGCTCCTCATCAATGCATAGTTTGAATCAAAACGATTATCGTAGCTTCTTGCATTGGAAGAAAAATGTCGGAAAGATTTAGGCATTCCTCAATGTGAAAAATGTTCACATCATCATCATCCTTATTTATATTAAATAAGTTTTTAAGTTCAAAAAAGTTGGACATTTTTTTCCGAATCTTTGAAATTCAGTTCAATTGCAATTAAAATCAAATCTTTTATCCATGCCTTCGTAATGTGGTCAATTTGTAATCAGGAAAGAAATTTTCCATGTAATCCCCCATAAACACAGAGCAGCACCTATCGAATTTCAATTCTAATGTCATTTATATATCTTTTTTGGCGATAAACTATCATTTTTTTGGTTGTTGGTGGATGAAGCAAAAAGTAACCTATCATTGCTTCGAGCATCATTTTTTTTCTCTACTCAAGACCGAATATACATATCTTTGAATGGAATCTATGTATTAGTAGAGAGATTTTCAAATTTTTTCTTTGTCAATTGATTCTTGTCAATTTGAACGAAACTTGATTGAAACTTATTATCATCTAGAACTAAAGTGCTTTTTGGTTTCTTCTCAACAAATCTAGAATGATAAATGAAATATGGCCAATTGCCAATTATGTTTATTATGGAACCAAATTTTCCAATCATCCAACAACGACAATTGAAAACTCCATTTAAGGTGACATTGGTATTGATGAATAACGATGTAAAATTTTAGTCTTGAATGATGGATAAATGGATCCACTGATGATAACAAGATACATATAAATTTCAAACTAACCAAAAACAGAGAAAAAAGATGAAATCTTAACAGACGTGTGTCGAACAAACGACGACATCGACATTGACATTTCGATCTTGCGATAAAGCATGATGAATTTAATCTCTAAATGTTTTTCCGACCAATCAAAATGTTTATCAAGTCAAATAATTTACTTGCTTCATATGAGTGTCATCTTGGAAAAATTTTTCTACTAAAAATATAATAATCTCGGTCACGAATATGAATGGTCAGAAATGATCATCAAATTGATAAACAATCAATGATTTGATGATGATAATAACATTAGGAATCCAAATTCAATCATTTCAAATGTATCATTCATGTAAAAGTGTGAAAATCTTTCCTATCGTTTGTACACATGTA